GAATGCCAGGGACATGTGTAACAGAAAGAGGTGTTATATGTAATAAAGATACATTCTGTTACAAAACAACATTCTTCAAAAAGCGAAATAAGCAAAGTAGATGAAGGATTAGGCTAGAATCTTTCACCCTGTGGATTTTTTTTCTATTTTCAAACTCTCCCATCTGCAGCTCCAGGTGGCACATACCACTACAAAGTTCTGTCATCTCATTCTGTAGTATTTATTTATTTATTTACTCCATTTATATCCCACCCTTCTCAACCTAACAGGGAGACTCAGAGCAGCCTCAGACAAAAAGAAGTCAGGGTGTTCAGCAGGCCCCTAGCACAGGACTGAGTAATAAACTGAAAATTGCCCGTATTGCTTTACTTTTCCATTTCCCTTGATAAAGGAAAATGATAAACTACGCATATGCAGACCCTTGCACGGACTAATGAAAACTTGAGAACTCTTCTGTTTCATTGGCTGTGAGGCCCCACACGACCCCTGAGTAATCCCCTCTCAGCTGGAAAGGCTTACTGGGAGTGTTATGTGCCCTGCTTAGCCCTCTCCAACTCTCCCGGAAACAAAGGTGCTGGTTGATACTGTCACCGCCTTTCCCTTGAGAAAGGAAAACTACATATATGAAGGTACAGAGTTATACATTAGGACATATTAGTGCCAAATTGTATCTTAGAAACTAACAGTTAACTCATTCAATGACTAGGCAATAGGTGGTACAAAAAGGCAACAACAAAAAGATCAATACACACTAAAATGCTACCTTGTAGCAGATATAGTAATAATAAAGCAAAATAACAATTGTGAATATGTTTGTTCCAGATAAAATTTAGAAACATTTTAAACATCCAACACTTAATATTATTGATGGAGTGAACAGTAGACTCAACAGCTGTGTGAATTCATTTTTTAAAAATCATGCAGATTCATGTAAGAACGAATTCCGCTGCCTACCAAATAAACAATATTTATGGAGTGACTTGAGAATGTGTAATGCTGATATATTCAAGAATTTTCTGTTATTGCAGTTTTAAAGAAAAGATTCAATTTATCATGTATTCACAGACAAATGTGAACGCATTATAAATGCAGACAAATATTAAGAACTCTATTTATGTAAATGCCAGGACTTCATACTTCTCACAGAATCAAGAATCAGTTTTCATTATATTAGTAGTTGTCAGCTGCATAAGTGCAGCCAATGCACTATGTTGTGCACTGTTTTCCAAATGCAACTAGCAGAATGAAATTAGCAAGTATTGTTTTCAGACCACCTCACTACACAAAATTGGCCTAAGGAAGAAGTACTCAATAGAGATGCTGCAAAAGTGGATCAACAGGGGTAAAAGGAAAGAGGAAATACAGGGTTTATGAGTTGAAAGTACAAGGTTATGTATGCTATATGTCAAAAGACTGATAACTAGAGTATTTTAAAATCCAGTGTTTTTTTTATGTGCCTTGAAATTGTTTCCGGTTTATGGCAACCTTAAGGCAAACCCATCATGGTTTACTCAGAGATGGTTTGCTTTTGCCCAAGGTCACCCAGTGAGTTTCCACAGCTGAATAAGTTTATACAAGTGAAGGTTTTAATTTTAATAGAAATAACCAACTGAAATGTATTCTGGGCACCCATGGCTACTGAACAATGGATAGAATTAAATGGTATAGGCATAACCCAGTATATAATGAACAACAACCAGTTGTTTACAAAGATTACACATACATAACATAAAGAGTCTTTTGGTGTAAAGACAACTTGTCTTCAGGGCATAAGATCCCTTGCTTTAGAGTAAGCGTAATGTAAAGAGTCTTTCTTGGTGTAAAACCAACTTCTCTTCAGGGCATAGGATCCCTTGCTTTAGAAAATTTTTTGGATATCCACATCCACGACCGGTTTCGACTAGAGTCTTCCTCAGGTGGATATATGAGACATCAAGTTCTTCACAATAGTAATCCCTCCTCGGGTGTTTTATACAATGGGACAGTGGATCTATAGGGAAAATACACAGGTGGCTAGAGTATGTCTCAAAGGGGGATAAACATTTGTATGTATTACTCACATAACAACAAAGGACAAATAAACAGGCATAGGTTACTTACAGGAACTCAGAAGCCGTGCTCTGCAGCAGTTTGATTCTCTAGCAAGCACAAAGGTCATCAGGTAGAAACTAGTTTATAAAGTAACCCAGTTAAAGGGGCTCCAACCAGGTAGATCAAGTCCAAGAATGTGTTAAAGGGCTATGTACTCTGATTTATAAGAAACACTGATATGAGATGGTATCATTCAGACCCTTGGGATGTGTAGTCTTCAGGGTGAAGATCCAAAAGGCTTCACGCTGTAGTAATTTAATGCCAAAATCCAAATTGGAGGGGGGTGTGACAACCTCCAAAACAAGCACCCGGAGTGAATCTGCATCATGATTTAAATCCACAAAATGTTTATAGAAAGTGGAATCCACGGAGCGATTTCTAATTTTGCTCTATGATCCTTTGTTTGATCTGTCTACTTGTTTGGCCTATGTACATAAGCGAGCATGGGCAAAAAACAATGTAGACCACTCCCTTGGTGGTACAAGTAGCAAAATATTTTATTGGGTAAGAAGCCTTAGTGTCAGGATTCTGAAATGTCTTTGTCTGAATGAATTGTGCACATATCGAACAGTGATGGCAAGCAAAATTACCTACCAAATTGTGTTTAACCTTAGAGGTTCGAAAACAATGATCTATATCAGAATGTACCAGCATATCCTTGATGTTCTGTGTTCTCTTGTGAGCAATCACGGGAGGTCTCTCGTACCCAGGTATCTCCCTTATCAGTTGCCAATATTTTTTCACAGTTTTAATGACATGCTTGGACAAATTGGTTAGTGTAAGGGGCCATATCAATCTGTTGTCACAAGTGATCTGTTTATCCTCAAATAGAGTGGTTCCAGTGCTATCAGCTCTGAAACAATTCGCAGTAGGTAATTTAATATTAGTGGGTGACCCTTCCAGGACTTTTGATTAGAAATTGGAGGGGACTAATAATAATAATAATAATAATAATAATAATGTATTGAAATTTTTATTTTATTTCATAAAATATTTCATATTTTATTGAAAATATGATGATGCACTGGAAAATTGAACTGTTTGTTGGAAATGAAAACTGCGGACTTGTCAACATCAGAAGAGGAATTTTCCAGGGAGACTCATTGTTCCCACTGCTTTTCATCATTGCCATGATCCCTCTGTCAATAATCTTACAAAAAACAAACCTTGGCTATCAAACACCTAAGAAATTTCACAAAATTTCACATCTGCTGTACATGGATGATTTGAAGCTGTATGGCAAAACTGAAACTGAAATCCAGTCTCTGACTAACACTGTCTGAATCTTTAGCACTGATACCAACATGAAGTTTGGTGTGGACAAATGTTTGACAGTGGCACTGAAGAAGGGAAAGTGAGGGCATAAATATGCCCAATGGCTAAGTGATAAAGTGTCACCATCCAGAGGCCTATAAATATTTATCTGGCTGAGGAGCCTTTTAATCAAGGTGAAAGAAGAAAGCGCAAAAGCCGGGTTGCAGCTAAACATCAAAAAAACCAAGATTATGGCAACAAGAATGATTGACAACTGGAAATAGAGGGAGAAAATGTGGAGGCCGTGACAGACTTTGTATTTCTAGGTGCAAAGATTACTGCAGATGCAGACTGTGGCCAGGAAATCAGAAGACGCTTACTTCTTGGGAGGAGAGCAATGTCAATCTCGATAAAATAGTAAAGAGTAGAGACATCACACTGGCAACAAAGATCCGCCTAGTCAAAGCCATGGTATTCCCTGTAGTAACCTACGGATGTGAGAGCTGGACCTTAGGGAAGGCTGAGCGAAGGAAGATCGATGCTTTTGAGCTCTGGTGTTGGAGGAAAGTTCTGAGAGTGCCTTGGACTGCGAGAAGATCCAACCAGTCCATCCTCCAGGAAATAAAGCCCGACTGCTCACTGGAGGGAAAGATACTAGAGACAAAGTTGAAGTACTTTGGCCACATCATGAGGAGACAGCAAAGCCTAGAGAAGACAATGATGCTGGGGAAAGTGGAAGGCAAAAGGAAGAGGGGCCGACCAAGGGCAAGATGGATGGATGGCATCCTTGAAGTGACTGGACTGACCTTGAGGGAGCTGGGGGTGGTAACGGCCGACAGGGAGCTCTGGCGTGGGCTGGTCCATGAGGTCACGAAGAGTCGGAGATGACTGAACGAATGAACAACAACAACAACAACAACAACTACAGATGGACAACATCAAACATGAACATGTGAAAACTGTGGTTGAACCCAAGACAGAGAATATTTTATGATGTTTATATGCTTCATAAAACATCAAAAGGGATCTTTTCTCAGATAGAACATAACTTTAAAAAAGGATAAAGACACTGACATTTCTTAAGTTATCATCTACAAATTAACTCAAAATAGGAGAATTTTGAACCAGACTGCATGTATTGGCTGTCAACGCACATCAAGTCCAGAGGGTTCATCTACATGTTGACTTATTAAACAACTAAACAAGTATATTAAAAAATGTCAGCCAATATATATTCAATGTATTCTGCAGTTTAACCATTATTATACTATATCAGTATACACAGAACACACTGACGAATAAATATTTGCCATCTGAATTTTTCCATGTGTAACAGCTTCAAAAATGCCTTTTTAAAATAGAGCAAAAAAACATTGTATGCCATTGCAACTAGGTGGCTACCCTAGACTTGGAAATGGCAGAGCCACCAATTTAATGATGCCATCCAAGTTGCCAGAAATGTACTGGCCCCATGTCTCCCTAAATTAAAGATAGCTAACTAGTTGTAAAGATATGCCAACAGGATAGTGAAATGAATATGACATCTAGAGAAGGCACATATAGGAACTACTTTCATTCGGCCAAATGTTCTTATAGCCATTTGTAGGTGTGCAAAATCATTTCCTTGCTACTGATAACTCAGAAAGAAAATGACAGCAGTTACAAAAGTTTTATTTGAATGAAAACAAAAAATGCATACAGAGTGTATAACATTGTAGTTTTGACTCAAAGAAAATTCAAAATAAAGTCAGATGAGTAAAGAGCATTGACATGAAATCATGTCAGATTTCAGCTGTGATTCAAATACTTTCAAGATAAGTCCTCTATATGAGGCTCCACTCACTCTTTGGTTCATGCACAGCATACTTTGCTCTTGCTCCTTTCTGAATGCCTCTTTGAAGTGCTGTACTGTAATGATACTGTTTGTTCCTTTGTTTTCCTCGTAATTTGGAGACATGTGGTTTTCAGTGAAGTCCAGAGTTGAAGGGAAAGGATGTTGGAGAGTGACCACTTCTTTTACTAAAGTTAAGGCAAGCTGTTCAGCAAGTCCCTTCTTGCTGCCTGGCCTTAGGTGCTTTATCTTGCAAGTTGATGGTAAAAATTCAATAAAATTATGAAGACAATGGAGCAGGGCAGCTGGATGCCTATATAGTAGATTTAGAATAAAGTCAGTAATAACTACATGGTAACATTTACCAATAGAAAATGTAAATCATTTGTGAATGACAAATCTGGAAAAAAAAGGCATTTCTCTTTGGAAAAGGGATTTAAAAAACAGTAAAATGAAAGCAATGCTGAAAAGATCTAAGCAGCTGAATTATATGGTCACTGCATTTGAACAGCAAGGAATTATTAAGGGGCAGTTACAGTTTAGTAATATCATAAAGAAAATCCAAGTTCCGACATTACATTCGAAATCAAAGTAAATTTGTATCATGTGACAGTGTTAGAAAAGGAGGATGAATTTAGATGAAACAAGTATGTTTCATTGCATGATATTTTCCTGCTCCTGAAAGATATGACTAAGGAGGAATGCATGATCACTAGAGGTGTGCAATTTGGCCAAAAGGCATGCTGTTTTGGGGTCCACTGTCAGCTGACCCCTCATTCTGTTTATCGGGAAGTTACTCGAATGGGGAGGGGTTTTGCTGTTTCATTTGGCAAAGATTCAGCCCATTGGCTACAATGGGAAACTGTAAAGGCTCAATCCTCAGCCATTTTAAGGCCTATTTACATGAAACCTACCTCCGTTTTAAACTCCATTTACAATTCACCAATCTACTACATTTTTAGAATTAATTTAAGTTTTAACCATAACATTTTTTAAAATAAGAAAAATTGCAAGAGAGGGTTCTGGGAATTGTAGTCACCCGTCGTGTCCATTCTTAGCCAATCACAGCATGGATACAACTAGGCTTTTTTACTTGCTGAGAAACAGAGAGAGAGAAAAAAACTTCAACTTCAATCATGCTTCGAGAGGAACTTTTCAATGCCAGCCCTATGCAAGTGCTGCCGGGAAAGCATATTCCCAGGGCCCTCTCTGGAAGAGGAGGGAACTTTCAAAAAAAAAAATGGTCAGAGGTTGCTTCTGCCAGGGAGAAAATACTTGGCAGATCCATGCCTCAGGTATATTACAGATTTAACCCTCTCAAGAACCAACAAAATCTGGCTCCTTTAATCCATTTTGCTGGACTTTTTGTCTCCCTCCTCCACTTTCTGTTTTCAGAGATTACATAAAAAAGCCCACTGAAAACTACAAATCATTTTCATTCAAACTGATTTGGGCACAAGCCTAATGAAACTCAGAATCGTGTTCACAGTGAACATTTGTCCTGTTAAAGATGCTTAATCTAGACTTCTGAAAAACGTCCTCTAAGAAAATTGGGTATATTGAAAAAAGCTAGGTACAGTATGACCCTGTGATTTCTTTTGGTTATGTCTGCTGTTTCTATCTGCATTTTATCAATGTTTGTAAGCAGTAGTATCTTCTCGCTTTCTTAGGACTAAGGAGATATAGAAGAAAAAAATGACCAATTCAAATCAGAATAGTTTGTTTTAAGCAGCACATCGCATCATCAGTTTTGAAAAGGACTTTGTATTAAATGCATTTCTATGAGTTGCATTAAGTGTCAGTCTTTTGTTTACTCACCAAGGTAGATAATTTAAATACAAGAAGGATATCAATTATCTCTTTGTGTTTCATTGTGTGATAATAAGTTATCCCAGTGCCACACAGACAAGTTGATACTCATACCATTTTATGTAAATGCAGTATGAAGTGAACAAGATTTTCCTAGCCTTTCAACTGCTATTACCTGCAAAATACTGTTAAAATCCCATCAAATGGTGTTCTTTGATTCCACCTGAAGAGCGTGCCATTCAAATTTCCAAACTTACAACAGGTCACATATTCAGGAAACTCCTTGACTGGTGTACACTGCATTTGTTCCTGTAGCCACGTATTTATGGGATTCAGTGTACAGTCTGTAGAAGTTATTTGAAATGACCGTTTGTGTGATACTGCACAAAGTGCAACAAGATCTTGCATGGAGCCTATGTAGAGAGAAAACCATTCCTGAGACTAGGAAACAGAATTTTAAGCATTCATATAGAAAAGCACTGGAAATTATTTTTGAAACCATCTTCTAAATAACCGTGGCTGCTGTGGGGCAAAAACCCAATTTATATACATTATGCTCTTTTGTAGTACTATTTATTATAGGAAGACCTATTCAGAGGCAACAACAATATCCACACACAATATATCAGCCCTAATATCTGTGAAGAAAAAGATTTGGTGCCCATAGAGTTGGTTTAGAATTATAACATTATCTTCCATTACAGCAAAACTGCCAATCAGCCATCCTTTCAAATGTTGCTGGACAGCAAGTTCCAGAAGTTCTGATCATCACAGTCAATGGTAGGGAATGCTGAGGAACCCAGTTCTATAATATCTGGACAGATGCAATACTCCCTGACATATCTCATGGCACAATGTATGTTAAAACTGTCTTCAGTAAATTTCACAAAAACTGGCTCTAATGAGCAGATAAATTGTTTAAAACAATAAAAGGGAGAAACTGTAGTGTCTCATATCTTAAGTAGATGTGTTCTACTATTAACAAGTCATGAAATAAAATAAACATCATCAGGCAAACAATAATTTAAGTGGCTTGCTGTGAGTTTTCTGTGAAGTCTGTTGGAAACTAGGCAAGTGGGATTTATATATCTGTGGAATTAATACTTGCCTCAAACAGACAAGAGTTCTTTCGCTTACCCTGGACATTCCATAGATATATAAACCCTGCTTGCCTACTTTCCAACAGACTTCACAACCTGTGAGGGTGCCTGCCACAGATATGGGTGAAATGTCAGGAAATAATGCTTCTGGAACATGGACATACAGCCCAGAAAACTCACAGCAACCCAGTGATTCTGGCTATGAAAGCCTTGGACAACACAAGAATTGCAATATTTTTCTGTGCCTGGCCAGGACTGCAAACTACAATCAATAAACTGAAATATTTTTTTCTTATAAAATAATATTTTAGAAAACAAAACAGGGACAGTCTGAATATTAAACTCTTAAAAATATAAAAAATAATGAATGCATCATTTTTGTACCACAATTCAGGTTACCTGTCTCTTTCAGATTTATTGAATATTTTCCAGAAGAAATCTCTACCAGATTTAATAAGATAGTACCACATATTAAACTCAGTCTTTGGTTTTCCTGTGGATTTCCGTCTTTGAAATTTTTCTTCTTTGCACGCAGCAGCACCATACAATGTACTTGATGCCATGCCAAGAAAGGAGAGAGCTGGGTAACTGCAGTAAAGACTTTTGTCCTATCTGCCTTCGCTTGAAAAGGTCCTCCATTGTATTCATTTCCATTATGGCAATCTAACTTGACCCTTTTAGGACATGGCTCTAGTTGCCAACATGATGCATGTTCTGCCAGCATAGCTTTCTTCAGTATAACAACATTAGACTGGCACCTCACTGGAGAAACTGAAGGACATTTCTGATGCATTATCAAAGACAAGCTGACATCACCGAGCTGCCTGTTTTTTAAATAAAATAAAATAAAAGCATAATTCATAGAGAGGAAGAAACATTTCTGAAAAGCTAGGATTGATATTTTATAGTGATCTCATTGTTTAATGAACTTGTAACTTTTTCATAGTGACCAGGATATTATATTACACTTTTATTTTAAAACAAAACAATCAAATCCATTTTAATATATACAGTGTATGTATGTGTGTGTGTGTGTATGTATATATATAGCCATTTTCAACTTCTAAATTTACTGATTTTTAACCTTGCAATTGTTGGGATGAACCCTTAGTCTGTTTTAATGTTTAGCTGTGAAAACATAATTTCTTCTGTCACTGTTTAATGTTTGGTGATGTCTTCATTATTATTCTGATGTGGATGCTAGAAATGTTCTTTTGGGATCTGGGTGGTTTACGTTAGGTTACTCTTTGTTTAGTATTGTACAGCATTGAATGTTTGCCGATGCTTGTTGTAAACTGTCCTGAGTCCCCACTGGGAGATAGGGCGGGATATAAAGTTATTGTTGATTATTATTATTATTATTTATCTATATAAAGAGTAATGTTTAATACTATATGGGAATTAGGCCACTTACAAGTCAAATGCTTCCATTAATTTTACTGCAACTACTAGATTGTCCTCTGCTACACGGAACCAAACCTTCTCCACAAATTGTTCTTGGGCTGCAGATGGAGTTGATGTGTCACTTTCAAGCGTTTTCTCAGTTTCATCCCAAAGAGATACAAGACCTTCCTTACATAAAAGATACATATATTTACACACATTGTTGCAAATTGAGAATTCCAGAATTAGGAAACTTTGTCTATGTAGTTTGGTTAAAGCTCTATGGTGGACTATAGTAACAAACATTTACAACAAAAATATGTTTACACATATACTTTTAAGAGAACATTGGAGAAAAGTACCCTTATTTACAGGATTTATGTTTTTCCTTTTCTGCTAAAAATAGACACAGGCAGCTAATAACAGAATCAGTTATGAATATAATGAAATTATATACTTAAAAACAAAGCATTTAAAACAGATTAAATTAAAATATGTCAATAAAAATTAAACAGTATCCAACTAGTTAAAAGTTTCAATAGCAACCCATCTGAACTGCTAAAAGCTCTTTTCTCTGTCTCTGTCTCTCTCTCTATATATATCTGTTTGTAGACAGACTGACAATAAAGAGGAGACCAGGCAAACTGTCTAGACTAGGTAGTTCAAGACCCTGGAAGCAGCAATGTCTCCATCAAACAGGCCCCTAACTTAGAGACAGGAATCAGGTCGCCCTCTAGATGTTGCCATACTGGTATTCGCATCCGAGCCAGAAGAGAATCGTGAAGAAAGCTGGGAACTGCAGTCCAAAATCAGTAGGTGGACCACATTATTCCCATCCTTGCTCAAAGGATAGCAAGTCCAAAGCAATGGATAAACACACATAAAACTGTTATTGCAGTCTGAACACAATCGTAAAATTTGGAAGAGACCACAAGGGCCACCAAGTCCAACACCTTTCCATGCAGGGGAAAAAAAAAACAAAGAATGTGTTGTCATGTCTACAGTTGCCAACTTCATAAATGAATGCTGCTGCCATTCTAGCTGTGGTTATTAAAATGCACTCTGCTGCCACTGCTAAAACCCAGCTATCAAGACCAAACTGACCCTTCAAGAGGAGTGCATTTTCATCGTGCATTGTTCCTTGAATGTCTAGAAATAACTGTTCATTTGATTAAGTTCTTGTTTATTCATTCTCATCCAGATGACCATAGAGTCCAAATACTGATTTAAATGGGAAACCAAGCTGGCTTTATCATCAGACTGGTAGCACTGAAGCTCTGAAATAATCTATCCCACCAAGATCACATGCTGTGTTAAATAGCATGGCACATAAGATGAAATGTTATGGATTTGCACAGGCCAATGGCCACATCACTACACTGGAATCTATCAGTTTCACCATCTTTAGTTATCCTTCTAAGGAAGGAATGTAAGATAATGTCTCCAAGTTTGATCTCAAGCAGGTAACACAGAATACTAGGAACCAGCAGAGGCACATTCCATCACAATCAACCCTGAAACCAGTCTGAAATACCTCTTTCAGAAACACCTTGAGGTGAGATAGTCTAAAACAAAAGTGTGCCAAAACTGAGCACTTTTAGAAACTAGGATGGAAAAGGCTCAACCACAGAGGCAGAAGGTCTCTACTTTACAACATTATAACTCTACAAGCAGACACCACAGATATACTTAGTGGACTTATGTTTCAGTAGTAGAGAACTACAGTGAACTGATGAGTTCTTGCTAATTCATTTATATAGTGGCATCACTTGGTGATTATTGTTGTAGATCAGCCACCAGAGGAAGATGATTTACTGATGATTTAAAGAATTGTGAGCTTTCCTGTGTCACAAAGTGATGGGCTCTCAAGTCTGGGAAATGATGGTTCTCTATATGAGAAAACCAGCTCGGAAAGTGCAGGGCCTCAAGGGCATTCAGGGGATTCAGAAGTAGGAAGAGTAGATAAGGAATCAAGTGAAGAGCTGAGTGATAAGGAGGATTCCCATGGGAACCCACCTGTAGCTACGGAGATAAAAAAGGGGTTTTTTTTAGCTGAAAATAGATTATATCGTTCAGAGAGATTACATAAGAAACAGAATGATTTCATGGGTGTCTATTAAACAACAAGTTATTTACCTTAAGGTCAGTTCAGGCAACACTGTTAGAGTGGGAAGCTAAGTCTGAGTTCTCTTGTTTCTGGTTCAAGTCAAGCCTTGATGTTGGATTTTATAGATATCCTGGAAGTTTTCTATGTTCCTGTTCATGTACTCTTGTTTTTAAGTTTTACTAGTTAATGCCTTCTTGATTGTGGACTTATGCTATATCTGTGATTTCTGGCTGTTCCCGGACTTTGTCACCCCTGGAATTTTATGAGACATTTAATAATAATAAACCTTTATTTGTGCCCTGCTACCATCTCCTGAAGGACTCGGTGCGGCGTACAAGAGGCCGAGCCCAAATACAACAATAAAAACAGCAGCAACAACAACAATACAATAACTAAAACAAAAACAAAAACAAAGCAATAACACTAACAACACCCAATGACGCAATTAAACACAATGGCCAAATGTAATAATTAAAATTAAAAGTGCTGGGCATGACAAGGTGGGGTGTTTTGAGGGGGATGGGCATCAGAACATTTGGATTATTGTTTGGTTTTTATTGCTAAACTTTTTTGGATTATATATCTTCCTTTCTTATTCCTGATTTTATATGCTTTTTACAATAAAATGTTTGCCTATATTCCTAGACTCTGGTGTGCTGCAGTGGTCATAGATGTTTCCAGGCCTGGAATGCAACAATTATCAGTCTTTGTGACAAGAACACAGCATCGAATTTGAAAAATTAGAACAGACTACAAGAGCCATATACAGTATATTCTGGCGTATAAGACTACTTTTTAATCCAAGAAAATCTTCTCAAAAGTCAGGGGTCGTCTTATACGCGGGTGTAGTCTTATGCATGGGAGTCGTCTTAACTCTATATTTTAACTGGAAAAGTTGGGGGTCGTCTTATACGCCCAGTCGTCTTATATGCCGGAATATACGGTAGTCTAATTTCTTCACATGCAGAAATACACAATTAAACACTCCCAACCAACCTCTGATTAATTATGAAAACAAACAAAACCAAAATATCAAAACTGAGCCAAATACAAGGAAATTACTTTCTTATAAGGTCACACAGCTTGAAGAGGTATACCAAGCATCCACTAATATAAGAAGATACAAACAAACCCATCATGTCTCTGACAATAATTCTTTTCCCAAAGTTATCTTCATGAATTTTACCTTCACTGTACTTGGAAGAATATGTTTTCGATCTTCAACCATGTCTATTAATGCATTACAACTCTCTATCAGAACCTTTCCTTTGAGATGTAAATGGCGCTGTAACTCTTGAACTGAAGCAAAGCCAGCCTATACAATATAAAAGAGAACAAAGTATTCATGACAGAAAGGCAAAGCAGATTTTCTATGACAGATTCTAAAGTCAGTAAGATGTAACCCCTGTAGATATCACTCCTGTACTAAGAAAATTAATCCTCCAACTTGCAAATAGAAAGTTTTGTGCTCTCCATGACAACAACTTGAATAAAATAAAAAATCTCAGTTTACTTGCAGACTATAGCACAACAGAAAGGATGCAATTTCTTAGACCATGGACATCGATTTCTTGCAGAAACTACCTTTCTTTCATCCCTAACATTCCTTTTGTTGTTGGTTGCTTTGAGAAGACAAATTTGGACCCTGAAAGAACATTTATTGCAGAAGCCTGGTCAAAAATATAGCTGTTGCGCTAAGGTGAAAAGTTCATTGCACACTGACCGTGTGACTTACGAACAAAAAAACAACAAACAAAACTTTATTTATATACTGCTCTATCTCCCCAAGGGGACTCAGAGCGGTTGCCAAGTAACATAATCAACACATACAAAGAAAACAGCATAAACATAAAATTAACAAGACAATATAAGCATTAAAAACCACAATAGCACATATATTTAAAATAATCCTGCCTGTTCAAGGCAGTTTAAAAGGCCGGGCTGGGCTAATGCGATTTTAGAGGGCCTGGGAAATTAGGTAGAGTCTATGGCTGTACATTTCCAGGGCCTAATAGAAGAAAGGGACCCGGCTAATTGATAGAAAAAGATATGGACAATTTCAACAGTATCTGGGGCAGAGCTAGAACTAGTCGTTCTCAAAGGTTTGTTTAAACCACCAGGTGTTCAGGCTCTTACAAAAGGAGGGGAGGGATGGGGCCTGTCTTATTTCTCCAGGGAGGCCAGAGGCGAGGGGCCACCACTGAAAAGGCCCTCTCTCTCCTCCCCACCAACCGTGCTTGTGACGATGGTGGGAGTGAAAGGAGGGCCTCCCTGGAAGATGTTAGAGGGAGATGCAATCGCGAAGACAGGCGGGGCCTGAACCGTTTAGGGCTTTATAGGTCATAACCTGCACCTTGAATTTAACTCAGCAACTTAGCAGCCAGTGAAGCTGTTTTAAAAGGGGTGTTGTATGCTCCCTATAGTTTCCTCCAGTAAGGAGCCTGGCTGCTGCCCATTGCACCAGTTGGAGCTTCTGGGCCATCTTCAAGGGCAGCCCCAAGTAGAGCACATTGCAATAGTCCAATCTGGATGTAACCAAGGCGAGGACCACGCTGGCCAAGTCAGACTTCACAAGGTATGGTCGCAGCTGGCACATGAGTTTAAGTTGCGCAAAGGCCCTCCCGGTCACTGCCGACACCTGAGCATCAAGTGACAGTGTTGAGTCCAGGAAGACCCCGAAGCTACGGACCTGCGCCCTCAGGGGGAATGTAACCCCTTCGAGCACAGGTTGCCACCCAATACCCCTGTCGGCCCCACGACTGACCAGGAGGACCTCTGTCTTGTCTGGATTAAGCTTCAGCCTGTTAGCCCTCATGTAGTCCATCACAGCAGTCAGACATTGGTTCAGGGTCTGGGAGGCTTCCTTGGAGTTTGGTGGAAATGAGTAGAAGAGTTGGGAGTCATCTGCATACAGATGGCACCCAACTCCAAAACTCTGGATGACCTCACCCAGTGGTTTCATGTAGATATTAAAAAGCATGGGTGATAGAATGGAACCTTGTGGGACTCCACAGGTCAAAGGCCATGGGTCCGAGCAGGCATCGCATATGCATGCATATGTCACTATAAGCATGCCAGCTTTGACAGTCATGCTATCTGCCACCATTCCATCAGGTTGAAATGATAACAGAATGGGGAGCACAGTTTACACCTATGAAACCGTCTGATTCAGGCTCCTTCTTCTAGGGCCTCTCCTCTAGTAGCATAGTTCATCAGACTCAGGCAAGAGGAACAGGGATTTGGCAGTTTGGCTGAAACCAGCAATTTTGTGACTCTTCTTGCAAAATTGTTTCTATTTCCTATTATTGCTGTAAGAACTATAGTTCAGAAAGAGTTCCTTAAACATAAAGCCTAGTAGACAATGTTACTACTGATCTCCGTAACCTGCTCAAAATCATTTCCAGTTTAAGAGCACACACACACACACACACACACACACACACACACACACTGTATATGTCTCAGTAAAATAAAAATCACATTTCACCACATAATTTTTTGGGGGAAAAGGTGGGCATGACTATTATGCAATAATTTCTTTTTGGCTGCTATGAGGCTACCGATTTTGGGATCAAAAAATGGGGGTGCAACTATTATGTGGTGGAATGCAATGAAATATGGTATATACTCTGACTCAAGTTGAACCCATAATTTGCATGCAGAATGTTCCAGGTTCATTCCTTGGCATCTCATATTAAATGGGTCAAACAGCCGGTGAAAAATCTCTGCCCTACAGTGCTGCTGTCACCCAGAGCAGACACCGCTGGGAAAAACAGACAAGAAATCATATCTAAGAGAGACTACTATGTGATTTCTTTAAAACGATCTAATATTTCCACTCCAGAACACAAGAACACACAATATCAGCAAAAATAAACAAATAAACACACAATAAAATTACAAATAAAAAAGAACATATTTCCAAATCCTGTGCTATTTAGGAAAATGACTTTCAGGGCCAGTTAAAAATAATCCACAGTGAGAACAGTAGTTGGGATTACCTGTTGCAGCCAGTGTGGAGAGCCTTTTTTGTCAACAAGACACATACAGTAAAGACAATTTTATCAGGTCAAAGGGTTCCTTTACCAAATGTTTCCATATTTAGTAATGATCATCAATTGTCATAAGATCCTAAAAGAGTAAGGCAGCACTCCTATACTCCAGCCCAAAAGCTGATCAAAGGCCTTTGAGATGCAATGAAGTCCCCTCCATCAGTGTTGAAGACAGGCTGCTGCATGATGTTCACTTTGGATCAAAACAGAGCTTCCCATTCTCGGATTGCCTTGTTAGGAGATGTCCGAAGGGGGTATAGGATGCCCAGGTTTCCTTTTTACCCTAAAGCAACCCCCCCACACACACACAAAAAAAAACAAAGCCCTTCCAGAAACTGCCAGGTCAAGAGTTAACATAGTTAATTTTCCCCTCTTGTGGGAATCACCATCCTCACCACTGGCTGTGGCTGACTTCAGCTGTCAGGACAAACAAATGGCAGTGATGCTATGGACCTCCCTGCCCTCTCTATAGGTTTGCTTTCTAAGGTAAGCATGAGGGGTGTTGTTTCTAAGATGATATTGCCTAAGGTTTGGGCAAACTAATTCCTCAAACCACAGCTCTAATAAAAACATGCATAGAAATATTTTGTTTTCTTCTCTGTGCTTAGCAGTAACACCTCTCTTTCCAAAAACTGATATCAAATGTTATAGCAACAATTCAATTCCCTTAATCTTACTGTATTTGTTTACACTGGGCCACAATTATAACAGTGAATAATAAATTCTAACACCTTGCTCTACGTTGACAAATGTCTAACTAAAAAGATCAAAAACAAGAGTTTTAAACCATGAAAATTCATGAAATACAGAACAATTTGTGTTAGATATGAAGAGGTGGTTGCTGAATACAAACCTGTAATCTTGTTTCAAGTGCTTTGATAGTAAGAAAGCAATTCTGTTGGTCTTTTACAGAAGATGAGTCTTCTTTAGCACTTATGTTACTCTGCAGAAAGAAAACACACATTAAATCTCCGTCTGAAAGCTAGCGAAGCACAAATATGTCAAAAACTCAAAAAGATCTAATCACACAATTGAGAATATTGTTAAGGGTATTTTGAAAAACAGCAAAGTAGCATGCTCATAAAAGGTAAGCAGGGAAATAAAATGTTTTCAGTATACTGTCAAAGGCTTTCATGGCCAGAATCACTGGGTTGTTGTAGGTTTTTTCGGGCTATATGGTCATGTTCTAGAGGCATTTTCTCCTTCTGTTTTCAGTATATAATTACATCAAATATTAATGTAAATACATGCATTTTCAGTTGAACAAATACACACTTAAAGTGAACAGCATGAAATAGCAACATAGGTCTACCGATTCAGCAAAATCTATCTGTATACTGGTGATCATACTTGGATGCACAAGTACTTTACATGTCAACATGAATTTACAGAGATCTAGTATCTGCTTCCTCATTTCTGATAATCTCTGTGTGGTTTTTTTGTTTTTTGTTTTTTTTTGTCATGATAAGCCATGGTCCCAGGCTACTGTCTCAAGGCATATGATGCCGCAACCTACTGAAGTTCTGGATCTGACCAGTGCCCAAATCACAGACCACCAGGGATTCAATGTGCATCTCCTTGTATTTCAGGAAAAGAAGAACACAGAAAGTATGCAAATACAGCACACATTTACATAAACAGATTTTGCATATAATTATAATTTTAGGAGACATTTTATGAGAAAGCATTCTATTCGGTTATATTGCAACCTATTCCTACCAGACTCTATTTCGGGAACAAAACCTGTGTAACATGATGGTTTACTTTGGAACTATATATGAGAATACGCTGCAGTGAGCCCAAGCCTCACAAATTCTCCCCCTCCAGCATGTCTGTAAGAAAATAAGACACTTCTGCTTCCATTTTAGATCAACTGTAGTATATTATGTGTTCCAAACCATAAATTCCAATTCACTGTAACTATGGTTAGTTGTCTCAAGCTAACTTTATAAAAGACCACTTGAAATTGGGTTGTTTCATAACATTCACAGCTTGTTTTGCTGGGTGACCCAATGTACTATTAAATTGAAATAGAAACTAAAATAGGAAGAGGGTGAGCATGAGCCTATGCTTGCTGTGATTTATTTTCATAATGCTAAATTAGGGATGGGAAATGTGTGACTCACACATTTTCTATCCCTAGTAGTACATCAATGCTCTCTGAATGGTGATTTCCCTTCTAAATCTCTACCTTAAAACTTCACCGAAATCCTGCAAAACACAAATCAATATTTTATGGGTGGCAGCATGGTGCTATGGCTTGCACACTGGACTACCAGCATTGGAATCTCTATTAAGCCATGAAACAGCCTTAAGCAAATCATATTCTTTTAGCCTCAAAGGGTGTCCAACCCTCTCTGAACAAATCTTACCAAGAAAACCTAGGGAGTTACCTTAGGGCCACTATAAACTGGAAAAGACTTGAAAACTTGTGGCAACAACAAGATTGTCATTCCCAGGTGGCATCTGCAGATGAAATTGTTAGGTTGCAGCCTGCTTCCAGTGGCACTGGTCTACTTTTTGCATTGTACGCCCATCAACAAACATGGCCAATGGTGAGAGATTTCAATGCCAGGAGAGCTAAAGTTCAAAACATTGGAGAGGACTGGCTTCAGGAAGGCAGACATCTAGCTGAACAAGCCTACTGCCCTACTGTAGTTAAGTAGGCACAGCAGTATCTAGCTAACAGACTAGGAATAAAAACAACTATTAAAATTAAATATGTTTTTCACTGTGTTTCTTTTTTTCAAACATTTCCCAACTCGGTTAACAAATCTTACCATGTAATTAACCTTTCCAAAATCTGTTATTTGGAATGTATTCAGACTTTCTGAAATGGAACCACTCTTTAGAAGAACAAGGATTTGTTCTGTTCCAATGCCAGCAAAATCATCAACCAGTACTGATGCCATATCTTTCCAGCAGGAAGCAACCTGCAAATGAATGTTAAGCATCAGGAGTGTTTTCAGATGGAACTGATGAAGGCTTCACATTTGGAGATTCAAGAGCTAATGCTTATGTTTTATTTTTAATGAACAGACTTTATCTGCAGATGTTATGAGTCAGCATTAATACCATATTATGGTAACACTGGAATACTTTTATTTAACAAAGAATGCTTTTTAAACCACAGATAATACCTCTCTGGGAGTCTCTAGTCCTCTAACACAACCTTATGGTCAACACTTGGTTAAAGTTGACCATATAGTTGTGCTGGAGAACCTAGAAATTCCTACTGGAAACATACTAATCAAAGCCATGAATAATCAAATATCCAAAACTTAAACCTACACCAAAATTAGCATTATTACTTATACGTGATAATATAATTCCCTTACAATAGGAGAAAGAATTGGTTTCTAATTTGATAACAGCAGCTAAATTGCTAATAGCAAAAAACTGGAAAGAAAAAAAAATTCAACTGGAAGAATGGTATAGGGACATTTGGAATATAACTATTAATGATAAGCTAACCTGCAATATTAAAATTTAAAGGGAAATATGTAAACAAACAGACTTTTGGAAAATATGGGGAAAATTTATTGAATATTAAAATTTAAAGGGGAATATGTAAACAAACAGACTTTTGGAAAATATGGGGAAAATTTATTGTTTAATGAGGGAAGGGGGTATAAGCCAGCAAGAGAAACAATGACATTTTGGAACGGTGAAACAACATGAGTTGGTTGGTCCTGGTGATGGGGGCACAAACTAAGGGGAAGGGGAAGGCAGTATAATAATTATAAAGAAATACAATATGTATAAGTGGATAAAAAGTGAGTGATAGAGTTATATGTAGTATAAGTTGTAATGGAAATGTAAGGATAATGATAAGAAATATGATTAAATATGTTTTTGATGTTTTTTAACTGTTAGATTGTATATAATATGACATACTTTTTTGTGTAAGATACTGTAAAAAGAGGGAAGAATGTAAACTTATACATTTTGTTGGACAACTTTATAAATAAAATCTAAAAAAAACCCTACACATGTGGATAAATATGCACAGGCTTCTTTAGGCATGTGTCCTAAAAATAATTTTCTCTCAGAATTGGTCATTTTTGTTAAAGATAATGGAAGTGTATGCCATTCTATTTACATGGTTACAAATACTCTAGTTACTGCAAATAATTTATATATAATGTTTTGAAAGTGTTTGAATATAGCTTTTTAATCAAAAAATGTTATAGCAGAAAACATCTGAACACTGGAATATTTATAGAAATGTTTTCAGTTCTATTTTTTTCTAGCAAGCCAACACACTGCATGTGGATGAGGATTCTTAAAGCATGGACTGGGCTGATACACCAGATGAGAAGACAGAACTTTTACAGAAGATAAGAAAGCAATTTTAAAATTCTAAAAACAAAAACAGTAGAATGTCAATACCTGAAAATTATGTTTCCACACGGCACATATGTCTCCTGAAGCAAATGTCACAACAACTAACTGGCTGTCTCCTTCCACCTCAGCTATTTGTATGGAACAAGGCTTCTCAAATGGAAGTTGCTGAACGTCTTTAGGCAGACCATCTTGGAAGAAGATCAACTGGCTTTTGCATGTGACTGCAACAATCAGCGTCCTGAACTTGCTCTTTAACATCTCAGCTTTGCAAATGTGCAGACACGATACGATGCTACCATATGCATGAGGTAGAAAAGCAGTACCTGCCAGAACTTGCTGTTTTTCTAGTGCATAGGCAAAACATTCAGTTCCCCAGATGAGTGCATCAGATTTGGCAATACTTTGACCTCCTCCTGGCAAATAGGAAGACCTGGTTCCTAGAACAACAGTACCCTCGCCCTTAATCTTCCCCACCCATTTGATGGAAGAAAACTGAACAGGGGCACATAAAACAGCGCCAGTTTGTGGAGAAATATAAAACAATTGTTTTGAATAGCTCCAAAGAACTGTTGGGCCATCAAGAACTTTTACAGATTCTTTGAGTTCATAGTCCAATTTAAAGTGTAATACCACTTTAAATTTATTAAAGTTATAAAGGATGAGTAAAATATATTTAATTCCCCCTTTCTTTTTCTTTTTCAGCAGAATATAGGGATGAAGAATTCCTGTCCTGAAGCAAGATGCACAGCAAGATTCAATCATTTCAACACCTTCCCCACTCATGCTGAAAGACCCAGTGGATGTTTCAACAAATAACTTTGTACCAGTGTCAAAAGTCATTTGTCTGACATGTAATGTGTTTATTTTGCTACTGCCAGCCTGTGAAGATTTTTCTTTTAACAGCTGAAAAATAAAGACTTCCCCATTATAGGACAATAACTGCTCTTGTTGATCTGTTATCATTGTTTTTTCTTTTAAAAATCCACAATATGAAGACTGGGCGCTCCCTTGGTATCAATAATGATGATTCCTCTGGTTAGTTTTAAAACAGCATTTTCACAATCTGGGGAGGAAATGTTAATTCTGATCATTTCAACATAAAGAAATGTAAATGAGTCCAGATAATTCAGTTCAACAAGTGCATTGTAAATGATTTAATCTTCTACACTCCAAACCAACCATGCTAAATATCAGAAATAAATACCATACGTCACTTGCTAATAGTGTTCCCTCGCTACTTCACGGTTCGCTTTTATGAACTAAAATTTAAAAATTAGGTTGAAAGATATCTTGGCAGGAGGGCTGCTGACTACCAGAAGGCATTCATATGAGCATAAATGCAGCATTACATTATGTTCTTCTGTATCAGTTATTCAGAAACATTCAGTACAGTGAGGAATCCAACTGATATAGTGTTTCAGTCCAAGTGACAGAATTCCTCTTAAATAAAGTAAAACATATAAATGAATTAGCTGTCTGTGGATGTTCTGGTACAAGGCAAGAAGGGAAGGACCTAGTTTTAAGTTTTACAAACTAACAACTTGGTTTCGTCAAGCAAACAAAAAGACCAAGCAATACATCATTAAATATCTGAATAAAATATGTTTATAAAGGTTTTTTATACCCTGGGATCATAATTGAGGTTCGGTCTGCACACTAAACTCGACAATCTGGACAAAAATGGATATTTCCTTGCCAAAGCTACAAGCGGCTCCAATCACTTGTATCCAATGTTACGAATCTGGCTGCCATCTTCTCAAATACAATTCTGGCCTTTACAAACTACTATGAAAAATGGAAATCATCTATTTGACCACGTAGCACAATTGGAGATGTAAAATTTCTGGAAATATGGTAACCTTAAAGAAAAACAATTCTTCTCAAGGTGTTCTAGAAAAAAATGTTTCTTTTTTTCCAGAAAGACAAACACATAAAATACTGTATTTTCCGGCGTATAAGACTGGGTGTATAAGACGACCACCAACTTTTCAGTTAAAATATGGAGATTGGGATATACTCGCCGTATAAGACTACTCCTCTTCCAATGCACACCAAATAAAAATTTAAAAACCATCAGATTTTATTTCAATATGGTAATTTTCTATTACCGTGCCTCCTTCTCTGCCTCTCAGATCTCGCACATATGTGTCTGCACCGCTTCACTGCAGTCTTCAGGAGCAAGATCTGAAGGACAGAGGAGGTACGGTAACAGGATACAATAGAGGGCCAGACAGGTAAAAGAGGTGTTTTTTCTGGGCACAGTGTCACTCTTTCTTTTTTTTCCCATACCCTGGGTGTCCCAGACGCCTGCTGCTTGCTCCGCCCTTCACTTACACTTCCTGGTAAGGCGCCCCCTCACCTCATCATCGGGACCATGTTAAGTCACTTATTTCCATGAGTCCTGGTGAGTGGATTTCCTTCTATTGTACTTGTACAGCGCCACCCTTGCTGCTTTCATACCGTTGCAGCATATGCTGGGTATGCAGCCGTGGCCGTTTTTTAGCTCCCCCCCCCCCATCATATGTGGCAACTGCAGATTCTCTAGTCCGGCTTGGAAGTTTCAGCACCTGCCCTATACTATGACCCCGGCAAGTAAGACGATCTCCAACTTTTGACAAGATTTTCCTGGTTTATAAAGTAGTCTTATACACCAGAAAATACAGTATTTACAGCAGAGGTGGATGACTGCATGGAAATTTTACCACCTTGCATCTGCCCAGTAAGCTACATCAGTGCATTCTAGTATGCCCAAACCGATGTGATATGATGTGTGTTCCTGCAATTTTGGTTGATTTGCAGGAAACTTTAAAATCTTTTGTATCTTGGGGAGATTTGTGGGAGACTTGAGAAAGCTAGATGTGACTTCTTTGGTTTGAGCACATTTGGGGCAGTTTGGGGCAAAAAAAAAAGCTGCATAAACAATTCTCTTTTTTCCACAAAATAATAATAATAACAATCTGGAGACATTGTGGAGCTTTTATTCCCTAATCGATTTTCCCTTAAAAAGAGTTCAGGGGGGGGGGGGATCATATTATGCTTTCTGCCTTTTCATGGCCTTCATTTCTCAAACAGCAATCACTTTTACACAGCACTACAAGCACATAAATACATCCATGACAATGGTACATTAATTATTGCTAAATTGACAGTATGTAGTGAATCTTAAATGTAGTCTACAAAAAGTAGTCCAGGCAGTTAAATAGAGATCAAAGTCTTTGTTCAGCAAAGGCTCACATAAAATATAAAGAACATGGTTTTCTGTGAGCGAGTAGATGGCGACTACTGGGCATATGTTCTGATGGCGACTACAGGGCATAAGTTCTGTATCAGAAATTAGAACTGATGTGGTCTATCCAGCACAGTGTTATGAATCAGCACTCCAAATAACCAAACCAAATCTAAAATTGACCAAAAATAGATTCATTAACCTTTTGGTACTAATGTTGAAGAGTGGTCCCTGATCAAAGAGCTCCCTGGTCAAAAAAAAGGTTGGGAACCACTGGTCTACAGTAATACAATTTGTGGGGGATACATGCTAATATAATAGAATGCTAATTATAATGCTATGCTAATAATATAATGTAATATAATAAATTGAATATACATATGATATTTATATTATTATGTAATACAATATAATAGCAATAATAATAAGATATTATAATTATATATTTTATATTACATGTAATATTACTAATAATATTACAATATAATGGTATAGTACAACATGGTAATATATAATACTGATATTGTAATATGCTAATAATATAATATATTGTATATATATATATCTTGTAAACTGCTGTGAGTCCCCTTTGGGGTGAGAAGGGCGGCATATAAATGTTGTAAATAAATAAATACATTCCCAGACATTGCATGGATATGCAAAACTGTACACAATAATGAAACTTGGTAATATGAAGAACTTTTGGTCTATGGACATGATGCAATTGAGCTGAAGGGCCTAGAAAATGCCTAGAGGGCCTGGAAACGGTGACCATGGATAAATTAAACCTGGATTGCAATTCCAGGAAATCCGTGTTTTGGTACACAAATTTACTCTTAACTATAACTGCAACGTTTGCCCCAAAAGATGTTCCTCTGAGTTTAGTGGAACGTATTCTTAGGCCTCTTGGAAGAAACAAGAAATAGAAATTCGATACAAATAGTACTCCCAGGAAAGTGGTCAACACTCTCTCAACTGATTGTGTTGTATGTTAACATGCTACTTCCCACTTTGATTTAGGTAAGAAAATATTATTATTATAATCATTATTACCTTGATCTGGTCATGAATCACTTGAGGTGGCTTTCAGAAAGTCACTGAAGCAACTTCAAGGGGGGAAAAATTAAGACAAAATGAGTTCTGCCACTTTCCAACTAAATCTTTCTCTATAAAAATCCCCAGAAGGGCAATTTTAATCTCTTTTCTGCCATTTTAAGCACACTTACTTCAAAGTATCTCTCATTGGACTCAACAGCATTTATTTCAGAGGTATTGGGGGGAAGGGCCCAGATACTGACACCAAAAGTACGCCATAAAGTTGTATGCCTGCATCGCTCCTTGACGCTGACAGGAAAGAACTAAGAACTACGGCCGGCAGCCATTCCCGCTTCCAAATGCCGCGCCCCGTGGTGCACTGTGGGAGTGGGGGCGGAAACAGGCGGGAGGGGCTGACGTCGCGTACTGTCATTGGACCTTGAAAACAAGGGGGCGGGCACAGCAACGAGGAAGCAAATCAGGATTGGCTGTCCTGTCATGCTAAGGACGGCATGACGCAGGGAAAGTAGTGGAGCGAGGAAGTAGAAGGTGGGAGCTTGACGTGCCTGCGCGAGCGTTCGCGCACGCGCGTGAGTGTTAACTTTGGAAGGGGAAAAAAAAACCACTCACGGCTTCTGAAGGGAAGGGAGCGGATTGGTTCGGGAGAGGGATTGTCACCGAAGGTGAGGCGCGCGCCCACTCGCTGAGGCCGGGTATTGCTTGGGCGGTGCGTCACGCGCTCGGCGCCTCGCTCGCTCGCGCGCTCTCCTTTTTTTTCTTTTCCTTCCTGCCTCTCTCACTCTCTTTTTCGCTGAAGGCGCTTCTCTCGAGCGGCCGGCAGGACGATGGCGGAGGTGAGTGTTTGGATGGGAGGGACCCGGGATGGAGGAGAGGGATGGAGAAGGCCGCAGGCCCCGTCCAGAAGCCCCGCTGGGAGAAGAGCGGGGTTTGCATCAAGTGCCAACTCGGGAAGAAGTGGAGTGAGGTGATTTGAGGGCCTCTGAAGAGAGTTTCTCCCCCCCCCCAAAAAAAGTGTAATTATTTCTTCATTTGTATGTCGCCTTCCCCCAGAAGTGGGACTCAAGGCAGCTCACAGGTAAATGCAGCTAAAACACACACACGCACACACATATATAAATTATCTGTGCATAATGAATACCTTAAAAACCAAAGAACCAATGAACGAAATCACACCAAATTTGGCAACAAAACGTCTCACAACACAAGGAGTGACCATCACTCAAAGATTATGATTTTGTCATTTGGGAGTTGTAGTTGCTGGGATTTATAGTTCACCTACAATCAAAGAGCATTCTGAACTCCACCAGCGATGGAATTGAAGCAAACGTAGCACACAGAACTCCCATGACCAACAGAAAATATTGGAAGGGTTTGGTGGGCATTGACCTTGAGTTTGGGAGTTGTAGTTCACCTACATCCAGAGAGCATTGTGGACTCAAACAATGATGGACCTGGACCAAACTTGGCACAAGCACTCAATGCGCCCAAATACGAACACAGATGGACTTTGGGGGAAATAGACCTTGACATTTGGGAGTTGTAGTCACTGGGATTCACGGTTCACCTACAATCAAAGAGCATTCTGAACCTCACGAACGACAGAATCGGGGGCAAACTTCCCCCATGACATGCAGAAAATACTTAAGGCCATCCAATCCAACTCCCTTCAGGGCAAGAAAACGTAATCAATGTCCTCCTGACAAAGAGCCATCCAGCCATACATATAGATAGATAGATAGATAGATAGATAGTCAGATATGACTCACTCACACACACACACACTGATATAGTATCATAGATTTGAAAGGGACCCCTGAAGAAGGACAATGATATCTTGCATGTTCCAGGGTGGGCAAACCAGACACTCTCCACATCAACACTGGCAAAGAAACAGCAAGAAATACTGTTTACCCACAAGCATAAAGAAATTACATATATTAGAAACCAACACTTTTTCATTACTTTATTTTTCAGATCAACAGACTGGGCCACAGCAACTCGTGGCAGGGCACAGATAGTGTGTATATATATATATATATATATATATATATATATATATATAAATATAAAGTTACTTTAATTATATGTAAAGGTGTATATTATGTACACACACAGGTATATATACACATGTTATGTATACCCTTTTTTTTAAAAAATCAAAGTGGTTTAAAAATAAAATAAACACACTTATATGTGTGTTTGTGTGTCAGTGATACGCAGTTCCCAACTTACGAACAAGATAGATTATGTAGTTCTTAAGTTAAATTTGCTTATAAATTAGGACAGGCATATCTTTAGGCATAACACCAGCCAAAAATTAACTTTGGATAGTATCGGGAAAGGTGAACACACCTGTGGTGTTTGTTTTGCTGTCTGTGCCCCTGTTCAGAAGATTTCACCTCACTTTCTGTCCCTGTAATAATTGGATTTGAAAAAAAAATGGCTTGTTGTGGAAACAAAGGTTGGGCATAAAGCTTCATTGGAGATACCGTCCCCCATGATCACTCTTTCAGGAGCAAATTTCACTTCCTAGAGGTAGATTTCTTCCTGTTGTCTCACCCTCGTTATTAACTGTGTGTGGTTTGTAAGTGAGATGGTTATAGCCCAGGAATTGCCTGTCTGTCTATCTATCAATCTATTTACAATATTTATTTTCTGCCCTTCTCACCCCACAGGGGACTATCTATATATATATATATATACCCATAATAATTTATTTATTATTTATTTTGCATATGTGGAAACCGCTCTGGGTCCCCTAGGGGAGATAGGCCAGTATACAAATAAGGTTTATTATTATTACTGTATTTACCGCTTTTCTCACCCCAGGGGGGACTCAAAACGGTTTACAACAAATAATGGCAAAATTAAATCCCTCACAAACATATAAAACCAAATCATAAATCTAAACAAAACATATAACTATGCATTAAAGTCAACAAGGCAATTAAACATAAGATAAAACTACATGTAGACATAAAAATTAAAACCACCTAATATAAACATTAAAATCACATGATCCAAACTCATAGACCGGGGCCATTCCAAATATCGATTGCACACATTCCATATTTATTTCTTGTACTGCATTACTTTCCTAATCAAAAGTCCCACAACCACGCCTTTGCTTTCTTGCTAAAGGCCAGGAGGGAGGGTGTTGATCTAATCTCACTGGGGAGACTTCCAGAGCCAAGGAGCCATCACTGAGAAGGCCCTGTCTCGTCACCACCAAATGCACTTGCGAAGCAGGTGGATCTGAGAGCAGGACCTCCCCAGAAGATCTTAACCTCTGTGATAATAATAATAATAATAATAATAATAATAATAATAATAAATTTTATTTGTATCCTGCCCCATCTCCCCATAGAGGACTCGGAGTTGTAACATCATAAAATACAAGTATTCAATGCCAACAAATACATACATACATACATACATAACTTAATAAAACATGTAAAAAAACACAAATGATGTTAAAAGCCATATTCTCATTCCGGTCCATATTTCTTAAAACCTTAACCCTCTGCTTGGGTACACAGACATGTTTTTAATTGCCCAAAATTCTGAAATATTCCAAAATTGCCCACTTGCATGGCTGAGAACAGTGACATCTTTGCCTTCTGGTGGCTCACTGTACCCAAATTGTGTTTCAAGCATGAAATAATCAAATATTTTGTATTAAATTACCCTCAGGCGCTGCATGTAAGGTACATATGAAACATAAATGAATGTTGTGTTTAGAGTTGAATCCCATCACTGGAATCTCTCATTATTCCAACTCCAAAATATGGAACACTTTTGGTTCCAAGCATTTTGGATGAGATGCTCAGTCTGTATGTGTGTATGTGCATATACACACATACACAGACATTAATACCTTGTATTTTTGGTGATTATTGAAGGCTAAGAAATACATTGATTTTGAAGAATAAATATTATCATGAGGATTGAATCTGAGTTACAAATTTCATCTTGAATTACAATTGTATGTGAGATATTCAAATTGTCACCTCCGGACTGTTGGCCTTGTCATCCTGTTAAAGGAGTATGTGGTTTTTTATTATTAAAAATGGCAAGAAAATTGTTTAGTATTATAAGCTGTTAAAATGCATGTGTTTGGGGGGCATCCCTTATTTACTTTGGTCTAGCAGTCCTGAATTGCTACAGAATTGATATCCTCACTTTTGGTGGTGTTTAAGAGGTTAAAACTCTGGTATGATTTTGTGGAAGGTGCCTCTACTAGAGGAAAGTTGATAAAACCAGGCCTCTGATTTTAAGCCATGCTTTCTGTAGGGAGAAAACACTAATATTTTTGATATTTTGGGTATTCTTCTATTATGGTAACTTCCCACCATACTCAAAATTTGGTAGTATCTGTCCTTTTCACAAGTGTAGTTTGATGCACTGACCTTTCAGAAAGATCCTATTAAATGTTCTAGCTTTTTTCAGAGATCAGATGGATGAGAACACTGCTTTCGTAATAACTCTGTAAGATTTCATATCATTGTTCTTTTTATCTTTGATCTTCATTTTTGTTATCAACATCTCTTACTATCCTTTTCACAAATTTGGTGATTTTGAGATTACAGTCTTTCTATTTGAAGGTAGGAAAATGAGTTGAATGTAGTTTTGTTGACTAACTTATAGCAATTTTCAAGAGTTTCTGGATTTCAATTCTAACAAGTCAAATAATAAAATCACTTTGTCACCATGAATGAATTTCTGTGAAACCCAGAAGTTCACATCAGTCTTAGTATGAAAAGAAACATGATAGGCACACAATATGCCCAAAGGAACCGTGCGTGTTCTTGTAAATATCTGTCTTTTGTTCCCATCTCTGAGATTTACTTTAAAATCAGTTAATTAGTTGTTAATTAAGTAGATAGGATAAATCTGGAGTCTGTCCACCCCTGTGTTAAGAAATGTTTGAAAACTTCTTTCTTTCTAATTCAGCAGGACAAGACTTCATTAATACGTGAAACCAGACAACGTTTTGAAGCGGAATATGTTCCAGGTTGGTGTCTTCCTTGTATTCATAACTATTTCTTTACTTTATGTTATGCTTTCCTGCATCTGAGTTTGTAACAGTATGCATGGAGTACAAAGGCGGTTTCATTCTGTGGTGCCACTAAGAGCTATCATGATTTATTTGGGGTTTTGTTTTTTGTTTTGCAAAATTTGCTCTGAGGGGTTTTGCTTTGGCTTTCTTATGAGACTGAGGCCCCTTCCACACTGTTCTTATGTCCCAGGATCTGTTCCCAGGTTATCTGCTTTGAACTGGATTATATGAGTCTCCACTGCCGTATAATATGGGATAAGCAAATAATCTGGAATCAGATCTTGGGACATAAGGGCAATGTAGAGGGGGGCATGATTTTCTCAAATGGATTTCTATGGCTGAGGAAGAATTCAAAGCCTAGCTCCAGATTTGTAGTCCCAACACTCAACCCACAGCACCATGCAGGCTCTGAAGGTGTAAGCATTTAGAATTGTGGATGTACTTGTTCAGATTTGTGCCCTCTAAAAATGTTCCGAGCCTCTTTGTACCATAATTAGTGGCAAGTGTTTTCCTCCTCCATTGCACTGCCTCCTTGGAAGCAATGATTTTGATTGTTCCAGCATTTATGAGTAAAGGAAACATGTTACAGTAAGGAAATGTTATGTCCTTTTATTTAAATATTTAAAATAATTGTCTTTCTTTATTGAAAGCAGCACTCATCTGCTCCCATGGATTTGATTGTTATCTAAGTAATCAATTAATTGTTGGCTTCTGATAACAGCTCTTAAGGTGTAGCTCTTCGCATACCAATGTGATGACTCAGTGGCTCACACATTCTTAAATTAGTCACATGTGGCCTAAATCAAAAACTGTTTTGAAAGTAAACAAGAATTGTGTACAGAATTGTAGCCCTAATGGACTACTTGAGCACCAAAAATTGGTTCATTTTAATCAGAAATCACTATCTAGAATTGGATTGCTATGTTTGGGATTTGATCTTATTTTTCAGCCATGCATTATAATGGAAAAGTTTTTTTTACTGAATACAAGTTCTGAAACACTTGTTGCTTCTTTAGTAACATTCAGAACTATAGCTTAATAAATATAGCTTATTGTAATGAAAATAATAATGCATTATAGTAGCAAGTGTATTCCTATTTACATTCTTGTAAGTGTGCTTAGAATATGAATTTTTAGTACCTGAGATGCAGCAGGATTGTTTAATCAAAAGCACATTCAGATGTATGGTCTAGAATTCTGAAGAAGAACCACCTCTTAGTATTCCCTAAGAAAGCCAGATGAAATTCATATAGTTGCCAAAGGTCAACAGGTACTGACAGAAAGAGAGAGAGAGAGAGAGAGAGAAGACTAACATTAAGTTTGCATTCAGGCCAGTTGTGTTCTACCAGTTATATCCTGGGAACCAGTGACATTAGCTCTGATCCAAATTCCATATAGTCACTTCTGAACTGTCTACGGAGAGTGCATGTTCTCTGCTGAAATTTTATTCCTTTCAGGTCAACCCAATCAGAAAGAATAGTGCAGGGTTCTTCTTGCTACATAATTCTGTTTATAAGGAAAGGCTGTACCATATCTTTACCGTTTAGTCCATACCTAGTCTAGATGCCTTTTATCCATTAAGTAAGCAGTTAAATTGCAAAAATAGTCATAATATGAATTAGGACTGACATATACTTTTCCCTTACTGCTAATTTTCTATGTGTGAAAAGGATATTAATTTTCATATTATTAAAAAGACTATAGGTATTGCATAAATAGTTCAGTTTGTTTTTATAATATATACTTCTCTTAATTCTATTTTTCTACCAAAAAAGGCAAAAGGAAAAGAATTCCAAAATTATATATTTGCTTGTTTCTTAGATGTGATCTAAGATTTGAAGAATAGTAAGGTTTTCTATTATTGTAGAATTAAGGTACTATTTTAATAACTTTAGAAATTAATTATGACATTATTTGGATTTTTATGACAACTACAACCACCAGTTGAGAAGTTGAAGTCAATTATTTCTCTTTTATTTGTAGTTTGTAGCATTTAGGTTTTTTTTTTTAGAATATGTGTTTTTGTTTGCTTTTGTACTGTATCATTCTTCAATACTTTCATAGTGTTACTAGTTTTCTCCCTGTGTATTGTTTTACATATAAAAGTTAAGTTAATAATTAAAAAATACAACAACATTTCAAGCAGGTTTGCAATGTTAGGACTTTTTCTCATACACAATATTTTAAAATACAATAAGATATTTGAGCACAGACTTCTTCCCAATATTAGCATAATTAGATGTTGTGAAACTATTGAATAATATACATAGATGGAATATAGATTAGCTTGCCATTGCTTTAACTGCTGTTAAAGGTAAATATCTTTGTTTCTTATTTCCATCACATTCTGGTGTGAAAACACCTTTTCCAAGAACAGAAAAAGTGTGTCTCAAGTTGTGATGTAGTTAACGCCATTGAAATAATAGAAGAGTTATTTAGGAGTGTGATGGGTTTGGTAAAATATGACTAAAGGTTTTTTGGTAGAGCAACCTGAAGGATGATATGATTAGGCAAAGCAGGAACTTCTGTCTGTATTTTTAAGTCTACTTATAGACAGACAAGATCTTCCAGTTCATTTGTTGACATTTGTTAGTAAAAGCTTAATGCAGGAATCCAAAGGCACATGATTCCCCATGCTGAATCATACCAAAGAAGAGACATCTGTCATTAAACTTGTGTAGTCCAGCATTTTGGACAGTAATCATAAATTGCTTGTGTTAATCCAAGAAATCCAAAGAAGGATATGAGTTCAACAGCATCATCCTTGGGTTTCCCACCAGATGATACACAGAGGTATCATTTTCGTTATGCTGTGTGTGAAGTAGAGAGCTGAATCACATTGAATGTGTGTACCTGAGTTTGAAAACTAGAGTTAGACTAGGGATTATGTTAGTGTACTGTTCATCCTGCTGCCTAACAGACTTCCTGGCCAAGCTCATGGAACTGGTCTCGGAAATGTTGGAGTTGCCCAGACTTTTGCTTCTGAATAACTTCAACGTACCACTGGAGGCCAGTTTGTCGAGGCAGCTCTGGTATTTATGATATTCATGACAAACATGGGCCTATTTGTAGGTTTCTGGACCTACAAATTCAGAAGTTCATACCCTGGATGTGGTTTTCAGCTCAGAACATACAGATCTGTGAGTGGAGATGATCAATACCTCTGAGTTGTCATAGACAGATCACCTTCTAGTCAGGGCTAGTATTACAGCTACAACCTACTCCTACAGGGGTGGAAGATCTATTAAAATGGTCCTCCCTCAAAGGCTAATAGATTCTTTGAGATTTCAGGAGGCCTACTTTAGCCTAACAGAACCTAACTGGCAACCGTTACCCAGATGACCTTTTCATTAGCTGCCCCAAGACCCTGAAGTTACCTGCTGGAATTGCTCAGACAGTTAGATCAGCTGTTGGAATTTAAGAGACAATTAAAGACTCATCTCTTCTGGCAGGCCTACCCAATCAATTTTAAATTGTGAATTTTAATCTGCACTCTATCAGTGGATATTAATTTGTATTTTAACTCTGTATTTTGTTGTATGTCTTAATAGTGTTTTATCTCTTATTTTAATGATGTTGTATCCTGCCTCAAGCTGGATACAGGCGGGTAATAAAATTATTATTATTATTATTATTATTATTATATTGTATTTTATGGTAAGTAGTAGTTTCTTGTTGCTTGAGTGTTGAAATGAGCTGGGTCTAACTAGAGCTTTTGTGTGTGTTGTAATCCTTATCTTCCGATGTGCTGTCAGCCATTCCCAATATGATCTTACCACACAGTAGTATTTTTGTTCACAGTATTAGAAGACTTGCCTTATATACCAAAGTTTTAAGTATTTTTGTCATTTTTATTTCATGGTTTAGCAAAAACAGATAAATATGATTCCAGAGATTTGGAGAGACTACAGCAAGATGATACCTGGGTTGAAAATTTCCTACTATGGAGGCATGATATTGTGGATGATACACTGAAGATGATAGATGAAAGTTTTCAGTGGAGAAAAGAATATGCAGTTCATGGTAAGATTTATAACCAAGATAAAAATGTATACTTTTTCAGATGAATTGCACTATATCTCTATATTTATTCCTGCATTAAGTTATCACAGGATTGTAAATGACCCCAACTAATTATCTGTTGTCACAAAATTGGACTAAAAATACAGCAACCTCAAAGCATCAAGAAAGGACTGAAAATGGCTAATAAATACACATACATATGTGAATACAAATCCAGCTATATGGAAATTTTAATTCTTGGGCTGGTCCCAAATAATGAATAGTAGGTCTAGTCTACATTTTTTAAACCTAATTTGTGCTATTTAATTTTTAACTGTCAGATTGTTTCTTATATTTCCACTATGATGGCTTATTTAATCTTAGGGGCACTCTTCCTAATATGCAAAAATCAAGATGACTATTGTGCTTGGGCTGACAAATTCTTAGTCCTACGTATCTTCCTTTTATCATCAGAGTGAGAAGTATGGACACCTTAACTATTAAAATTATAAACTATTTTAAAGTCCAGATTCATATTTTTTTAATGTGAACATAGTTGTGTATATAAATTCAGGTGGCCAACATAAATTATGTCTTTCTATGTTTGGAGGACTTTGGAGTTTTGTGATATCATAATATGTGCTTTTCTAACTATATTTTTTCTACAGACTTGACTGAATCTTCACTTCCAAAGTGGTTATTTGATAACGGTTCCCTTTATCTGCATGGTTATGACAAGGAAGGCCATAAAATATGTAAGTCAGATTTCTTATTTTATGTATTTATTGATGCATCAAAAGATAGATTTTCAGTATAAGGAAACCTCATTCTATTATAGCATTGGCTCCCACTGGTCTAAAATCTTGATTTCAGTGGCTTTAAGTATGGTTCATTATTAACTAGCCGTCCCCTGCCACACGTTGCTGTGGCCTAGTCTGTGTATATGTATTTTGTGTGTGTGTATATGTGTGTGTATATATTTGTGTATATGTGTGTGTTTGAGTATACATATGTGGTTTTGCGCATGTGTTGTAATTTTTATTTTTTGGCTTTTTATGTCTCTTCTGCTGTGTTTTTGAGTGTTTTTATGAGAGGTGGTCACTCATTGCCCTGATCGGTGTATTGTGTCCAAATGTGGTGTCAATTCGTCCAGTGGTTTTTGAGTTATGTTAATCCCACAAAAGGATATTACATTTTTATTTATATAGATTCAAGCTTTTGACATCTGTATCTGTGAGAAGCAAGAATGTTAGAAAAATGTTTTTTAAAAGGATTTAATAATACATATAAAAGACAGCAATTGTGAGTTTACTGTCACTTCCTGGTTATCTAGTGGTATTTTTCCTCCTTTGCATGGCAACTTTGATATCAGCTGTATCCAGAATCAATACCTACCCTTGTCTAGCAATCTGTGCTCACTTGCTTAGAAGGAGCCCCTGCTGGCGCAATGGGTTAAACTCTTTCTCCTGAGAAAGGGGAAACTTAAGCATTGTGATGGGCTGCTTCTATAGTGTGTAAACTTGTATTTGTACTCCAGGCTTACAACTTTTCCTAATTGTCTAGAGTACAAATACAAGTTTCCATGCTGTAGAAGCAGATCATCACAATGCTTAAGTTTCCCTTTCTCAGCATCAAATGTCTTTCATTTGTCATCATTTACTATAATATTTTAGAAAACAACTATAAGAAGAAATAATCATAATTGACATGCTGTGATATAAAAGAAAATTTATAGTGATACCTTGATTTAAAAAATTAATTTGTTCTGTAACTGTGTTCTTAAGTCAAAATGTTCTTATCTCAAAGCAAATTTTGCTAATGAAATGCTAATAATCCATTCCTGTCCCCTGAAAACCACAACATTTTTGTTATGTGTTTTTAAGTAAGGAAATGTACTTTATAAATAACAAATAATGTATTAAATATTTAGGGTTGGCAGTGCTTGGTTCCATCCAGCCACTGTGGCAAGGAAGCACATTTGAGTCAACAAAATATGTGATGGCAAGGCAAAACACTATCATTTTCTTCATACTGTAATTCCAACCTCTCTCTCTCTCCCTCTGCTTCTGTTTTTGAAGCAAAACATACAGTAATGAAAGATACAGTACTTGATGTTTAGGCTGAGGCTCGCTTCACCAGGGTGGACTGCAATTTCTGGTGTGGAATCTCTGGATTGGACTCCTCCCAGAATGTGTACGGGAAGCAATCACATTGAGCTGGAGCTTCTTCCTTGCAGGAAGAGCCAGAGATGCTTTTTCTGTCTGCCTTGCATTAGCACTGGTTTAAGGGGCAAAGAGGCCTCTTTTGCACTGTTCATAGGTCAAAACAGCATTCGGATATCAAAACGTCACTCTAGGCCAGGCATGGGCAAACTTCAGCCTTCTGGGTGTTGTGACTTCAACTCCCACAATTTCTAACAGCCAGTAAATTGGCTGGGATTTCTGGGAGTTGAAGTCCAAAACACCAGGAGGGCCAAAGTTTGCCCATGCGTGCTCTAGGCTGAGTGAGGACTTGTACATTAAGACGTACTTATGTTGGGACATTCTTATTATGTAGAGATTGTACTGTATAACTTATAAAATGAAAGTGTCATTTTCACTTAGGAACAAGTCTAAGTTATTCCTTATCTTTCTGACATATATATGTATATTTGTTTGTTTCCCCATTAGTTTGGTTCAGGGTGAAACTTCATACAAAAGATCCTAAAACTCAATTTGAAAAAAAGAAACTAGTAGCCTTTTGGTTAGAGCGCTATGCAAAAAGGGAAAATGGCAAGCCTTTGACAGTGGTGTTTGACATGGCTGAAACTGGACTGAGTAACATAGTAAGCATGCTTTATGTTTTTCATCTTGGTGCTATATCTTGAATGTTGCTTTATGTTGGAAACATGAATAACATTATGTACGCATACTTAAAATTAATTTAAATTAGATTTAAATTCGTTCTTTGCCCTCTGGTATAAATCTAAATGTTCTGGATTGACAGGTTCATGAATTGCAGCTGAAACTTGCTGCTTAATGACATAGGTGTGCTACTTGCATAATTGCAGAAAGTGATACAGTCATGTTTTGTAATAAACTTCTAGTGAAATTCACAGGATTGATACCTATTTTCACAACTAATTCAGCATTGTATTGCCACTTAAAATAGTAACTTTTGATAATGTATGTCTGTGCCAAGACAGCCAAGTCCCTTCTGACAGCACATCTAGCCCATATTGACTTTTAATATCCCACAAGAAATTATATGTATCCAATATGTCACCGTCAGATTTGCAAACATAATGTGACCATATATAATAACTTGCACATGTTGCTTGATTCTAGCATGCAAATGCTTCATAGGAATGGTTAAGAATCCCCTTTGAATTTCTAGGTTTTCAAGTAAGGAAATAAATGTTTTTAAAATAATTTTGCTGCTCTCAATGCAGACATGAAGACACTGAAGCATGTCTCATTTTCCTGTTCAGCAGTTCCTTTATCTAGAGATGATGCTGACCTACTTCTTAAACTCTTTATGACTTTTGAAGCAATTAGAGAAAATCAGTAGTGGATGTGCTAAATTAAACTTCCTTAGAAGTTTTGAAAAATTTATTGAGAGGGTTTGATGTTTTTCTTAATTGATAATATTCTTTGTTTTAGGACTTGGATTTTGTGCGATACATTATTGGTTGTTTTAAGGTCTATTATCCTAATTACCTCAGTAAGTATGATAGCTTTGATTTATATTCTAAATCAAGAAAATATAAATTCTTGAGTAATGAAAGGTGTTTTTTTTTTTAGATTTGAGGTATAAAGTGGCTGATTCTGATAGTACTTGAAAAACGAAACTAACCAATACCAACAGGACAGCAGTGTGAAGAACTGATACCAGTTTTAGATATTTTGTGAGCATCACTTCTATAGCAGGGCTGAAATGACTCTAAATGCTGAATGGCACATCTTTTCATTCTTGTAACCTCATGGGCCTCATAAATAATTGCTCACGGCTGCCATATTTAAAGATTATCCCATAATTTAATCACCTCTCTGAGTTACCTCATAAGCCATAGCAGTGGCGAGGTAGTAGAAAGATGACACAGAATTACTGCCAGTAGTCAAGCTGATACTAATAAGGTTGTTCACAGAACAGCTAGTGGAGTCATATTTCTTCTCATGGTTCTGGAGCTCATCTGGTTGCACTACTTTCTTGTGTTCAACTCCATTTCATAACTATTCCAAAAACATTCTAATGTTAAATTCTGTCAAATTATTAGAATCCAAATGACAATACACTTGTGAGTCTCCCCGCCCTGCAACTTGAAAAGCCATTCTCAAGGTTGCGATGGCTCACAGGGAAATTCTGTCTCATAAATAAGTTAGATTGGAAAAACATTTTGTTCATATCTTTGTAATAACCATTTACACTGGATACCCCACTACAGGTTGCTTACATAATCAGTTTGCAATTGCATTTTTTATTATTTTGCATTTAAGATAATTAACACATAAAAAAAAAAGATTTGTACGGTGATGTCAGAAAATAAATATTTCCTGGTTTCATCCTTGAATTTTTATTTAAATTTATTTATCACAGTTGGTAAAATGCACAAGAAATAAAATTCACATTTTGTACTCAGCTTCAAAAAGTCGCCTAAGTAAAAAAGAGTAATTTTATCCCTAAAGAGTTTACAGTCTACATTTCTACGCAATGGCAAATAAACAGAAATAAGGGGAACTGGACAAATATCAGCAAATAGGAAGTTTAGGTCAGTGTTAAAAGGATGTATTAACAAATAGTAAATCAAAGATTTATTGGTATATGCAACACACTGGATTGTGTGTGCAGCTGATGAGCATTTAACTGACAAATTTTGAATGGTCTGATCTAGGCTTAGGATGAGCATGTTCTCAGAGTGGATCTAGTTAAGTCATTTGAGTATAATCGGTACTGAGTTTAAAAGTCAGTTCAGGTCTCAGGTATGCAGTTTTCTGAGTATTCTTTGCCTAAGTATCCCCCACTCCCCCAGAAATGTATGATACTTCCATAAGTCAACAGGCAACTTGTAGGCAGATAGACAGATAGATGTACGCACGCAGAGAATGTGTACCACTTTTGTTATTGCATTTTGGTTTATCATTCTGCTTTCTCTATCATTACATGTTAGAGTGCAATTGGGAAAGTATGCTTTTTCTTAAGATACACTTGTCTCACAAAAGTCATTAAAGACTAATTACTCTGAAGGTTGGCATATTACATCCTTAATGGGAACACATCCTCTTTGTGTTTTTGCAGCTAAAATTGTGATCTTTGAATTGCCTTGGATAATGAATGGTAAGATACAATTTTAAAGTTTCTTCAAATGTAGTCTGCAATGAATCTTAGTAGAATTTCTTCATTAGAACATTCCTGATTTATTGTTAGCAGGAATGTTCTAATATATCTATAGTATTTGTGTATTGCCCTTTTCAGTTTTGTTCTATCCTCCCTCCCTCCCTCCCCCCCTCCCCCCCCCCCCCCCCCCCCCCCAAAAAAAGGCAACCACAGTAAAGTATCCTGTACATGTTTGGTTTAAAACCTCGAATGTCAGTTGTGATTCTTAAGACAACGGTGGGCCCTTGGTATCCTCTGGTGTTTGGTTCCAGGACCCCCATGCATACATATATCCATGGATGCTCAAGTTCCATCATATACAATGATGTAGTAAACAGGGTCCCTTATATAAAATGGCAAAATCAGGGTTTGTTTCAACTATTTATTTGTGGATGGTGGGAATCCATATGTATGGAAGGCCCAACTGTATTTATACCTCATTCAGTCCATTCTGAACATAGAATACATTCATCCCACTATTTGATGGTTTTGTAAATGCTCTCAACCAAGATTTTCGAAAAGAAGCCCTACAGTAACTGATTTGCCTAATCTGGTGCAAGCTGTTCATGGTTTTCTTTGTGCAATTTTTTCTCCAACCTATTTTTTTCTAGCTGCTTTTAAACTTGTTAAAAGTTGGCTGGGCCCAGAAGCAGTGAATTTGTTGAAGGTGACTAATAAAAATGATGTCCAGGAGTATATTAGTGCTGAATACCTACCACCCCATATGGGTGGAACGGTGAGTATATTTGTATGTTTTTAATGCTAGTGCAATTTACAGTAGTATCCTTTTATGCAGAATGTGAGAAAAGGAACAGTATTTAATCCTAAATCTGAACAATATGTAAGTTTATAGCATATATGTTATTAAATAGCAGATATAAAGGGAATAAGCAATCTTTTTCCCTTTTAATAATTCATTTATGATATGCTTGTTTGATTTAGTTTTGTTATTAATTTCCTATTTTTGTTCTTTGCATTCTGTTTACTCCACATGGGTGGTAAAGTCAAACTGAAAGGCCTTGGTGCAATGCAATTGAGATTTCTTCACAGACTCCTTTGAAAGAAATTCAGTGGGTGGTTAAATATTGTGATTGTGATATAAGAAAAAAAATATGTCCACTAGTTATCCAGACTTCTTACATCACTGAATACCTCATACCCCTAAGATTAGATAACTGATGGAGATGTACAATAGCATATAGAACCTGTCTCTTTAATCTTTGTTAATAGTGTGTTTGTTTGGGGGGGGGGGGTGAGCCTTTGACAAGCTATTTTCACATTGTAGGTTCTTGTTGATACATAAGAAAAATGTGTTGCAGAACAAAGAGGCAAAACGATGAGCCAAAATAATTACGTTAGGTGGAAGCTTTTGGAAGAAGGCTTTTGGAAGAAGGCTTTCATCTTCTTGCCCCTTCAGAGTTTCAGAACTCTCTCCTAAACAGCATATGGTGGCACTTGGACACTACTGAGGGAGAAAGGAATTATTCAAAACCATGCAAGTTACTTGCATCTGGTATTATATTATTTTCCCTTTTTAAAGTGGAAAGGAATAGGCAAAAAAAATCTGTTTGCCTTCTATATGCCAGGTAATAAGATTCAATCTGCTGTCTGTAATACTGAAAAGAACATACAGTTAATTCAACATATATTTATTTAACTTTAGGAAATGTGATACATTTTCATAAATTTCACATAGTACTGTCCTGTGCTCATTTTCCTACCTGAATAAAAATTTTCAGTTTACATATTTTCCAGGCATTCCTTTCTTGTTGCCTTTTTGACATGAAAAAAATATCCTTTATTTCTTATTTACCACTTAATATTTTTCATGTAATTTCCTTTCATATCTCTTTTCAAGGAACAGGCAATCTATATTGCATAAGTTTGTACAAATATATTATTTAATCAGATAGGCTTCAAGTCTAAAAAGACATACTGTATATACTGGAGTATAAACTGACCTGAATATAAGCGGAGGCACCTAATTTTACCATAAAAAAAAACTGGGAAAATGTATTGACTTGAGTATAAGCCAAGGGTGGGAAATGCAGCAGCTACTTGTAAATTTCAAAATAAAAATAGATACCAATAAAATTACATTAATTGAGGTTAAATGGTTTTTAATATTTGCATAAAACTATAATTTAAGATAAAACTGTCCAACTCTGATTAAGCCATTATTCTAAACTTCTTCAATGTAAATGTGCTTACGTATCCTTCCAATAATAATAGAGAAAAATAAKAAATGTAATAAAAATAATAGAGTAAAATAATGGAAATGTAATAATAGGRTCAATTAATAAATGAAATAATAATAAAGTAAAATAATAAATGTAATAAAATATTAAAAGAGTAACATAATATAAATGTAATAGTGATACATAGAGTAAATCATAAATATAATAAAAACAATAATAACAGTAAAATAGTAAATAACTTTGGCTTCAGAATAAGGCGAGGGGCCTTTTTCTGCCCCCCCCCCCCCCGAAAAGAGCCTTATACGGTACATATATACTGGAAGTTACTCTATATAGCCACAGGTATGCTTTTGTGGTTTTCCTTTCCAGCTTATTTTGAAGCAATMAATCCCCTTTTTAAAATGAACAATGACTTTATCTGTTAGTAGTAGTGACTGTATTGTTTCCACTTCTCATCCCATGTTCCTTTATTTGGATTTCAGTTTGAATGTTAAATTTATTTTAGACCTGCTACAAAGTAACTTATTTAATAGAAGGCATATTATCTTGAATTTGCTGAAAAGCTAGTGTAAAAAGAATTTCCACTTATTATTCTACAATTGTGTGATAATAGAAAACAGACATATCAATATGTACATCAAACGTGTATTCTAAAGCAGAATGTTTAGCCAGTAATAAGACTATAACGTGAATTATTGATAGTTGTCTGTATTTACACTTTGCTTTTTCCAGAACTGGGATTCAGATTCAATATAGAAAGAGATAATACATACAAACATACAAAATGTGTTTGGTTTTGATTTAAAAGCTATCTATTAAAAATAGAAATAATGTAGAAGCACTGCCCAGTCTAGGCAATATATTTTGCTTTACAGCCATCCCTCCACATTAGCTGGGTTTAGGGGTACAGGATCCCCATGAAGGTAAAGAACACTAAATAAGGACATTGCTGTTGTTTTATCTCTCTAGGAATGTCTGGGTCTTCCAGCATGGTTGACTTCTGTTGGAAACTGACTATAGAATCACATTGAAAGACTTAGGCATTCCTAAAGAGATCTTCTCTAGAAATATCCAGGTCTTCCAACATAACCAAGGAAGGCTGATCATATGAGTCCCACTGGAAGACATGGAGATTCCTAGAGAGAAGATTTAAATCAAATTCATGAAAATAATTTTACAAAACTCAAAACCACAAATGTGAGTGTATTTTAAATTGAATTTCTTTTGGTCCTTTTCTCTTCATACTTCATTTGTTGTTTCCTCACTCAGTAAATGTTCTGTGTCCACTTCTTTTGCTTTCTCTGGTTTTATTTCTTCAAATTAATTATCCTTTCTTCTTTTTTCTCCTCTATACTAAAAATAGCCTTTAACCTTTTCTTCTAGGTGTTGTCTTTCTCCCTTGCTATTTCTCACTCCCTTTCTCTCTTCCCTTCATGTCTCATTCACAAACACATCCCCAAGATGCAGGACGGTTAAAACCCAATCAGCCAAACCAGGATCCATTTTTAGGGAATTCTCCACCAAAACATACCCATTAAAGTACTGGACATGTGTGTGCTTATACCTGCCTCCAGTGAACTGAATAACACCCTACTCCACTTCCATGGCACTGGTTACTTTCTTTTTCAGAGCCTGCAAGCCTTAATTATCTTTTTGAGTAAGAGACTTTTTTCTTTCTTGTCTCTCAGGTTGTGAAGGAACTAAAGTGAAATGAGAACCAATTTCTGTCAGTTTAAAATAAAATTATATCTTGCCTGGACAGTGACAGGAGTTAAACTATTTATAAGTGGCTCTTTGTCCTTGACAATAATATCTTCAGTGTGCCATTATCAGAGATTACATATAATCATAATAAAATAATATGTGCTGTACTTTTATTATTTTATTACTATATGTATCTTGCGGAAAATAATATATCTTTCTACTTAAAAGTATAAAGATGGGGCCAAAGGGTAGGGAAAGGATGATTTTGGAGTGTTCACTGAGATTTGGTGATTCTATTTTGCTCTTCCCTGTACCCAGCAATAATTCACTAACTTCTTATGTCCTAGGATACCTTCAAGTATAGTTACCCTCCACTGGTTGATGATGATTTTCAAACACCCCTCTGTGAAAATGGACCCCTTACTAATGAAGATGAAACTGAAAGTAAAGAAGAAATTGATATAGATAACAAGGAAAGTCTAGATACTAATGAAGAGCAAGTACCCAATTCAAAAAAGGTATCCATGGACTGAATTGTACATAGAAAAGAAGTAAGCAATCATTTCATGGCAGTTGTCCAAGCATTTATGTTAATCAAGAAGATTGAATAAAGCCTGAAGGGTAAATGTGGTCGTCATGTCCTCCTGTTGATGCATAGAGATGAAATCTTTGGTTCTGTAGCTATGAAACTGTTGCTTAGCTACTGGCAGTTGACCACATTTTGTTTGGGTAAATGAGTACACAATTCCGTCTAAGCAGCTATCCAGTTGTGACGCTAAGAGAAAACCTGCTTAGATGTAACATTTCTTTCTGTTTTTTCTTGTTGTGTTTTTGGTGTGGTTTGCCTTTTGTCACCTTGAGTGTTGCAGTTTAGAGTTCTTTGAAAATGGTATGATTTTAAAAAATCATTGTACTCCTTATTCTTGGGCAGGCTGAAGAAGCAATCCAGCATATAAGCTCTTCCATGATTTGTCCACTGGTAAGCCTGAATAGAGAACCCATCTCATCTGTAGTTGTTCTAACATAGTTACTTCTAGTCCTAATCCAGTAATGGATTAAATGTAGCCACAGACACCCTCCCCTGACCAAAAAAAAAGTGGCAAAAGTGTGAATTGCTTCTGAAAGTCTTTGGAAATGGTTAATCAGTGTTTAAATAGGCCCCAGGACCCACACTGGTGGAACATAAAAAAAAAATGGTTTTGCAACCAAAAATGTTTATCTATCTCCAGGTTTGTTGTTCATTTATAGGAAGCCTGCTGAGTATTCTTGGAGCAGGCAATTGTTTTCCATATCAATTCAAGTTGGTTGACCCTGTTCTATTTATCCAGCATCTCAGGTGTGAGCTGGTTACATGAATGTCACATCTAATTCTTGATTATAGTACCCAAAGTGGTTTCTGTACACCAGGCATGGGCAAACTTTGGACCTCCAGGTGTTTTGGACTTCAACTCCCAGAAATCCCAGCCAATGTATCGGCTGTTAGGAATTGTGGGAGTTGAAAGCCAAAGTTTGCCTATGTCTGATTCACACCTTCACACCTTTATCTGAATGACCTGGCAGTATTATTCACATGAGACTGCATATTGAAGGGGCTTGGCTTTTTATGCATTTGTCAGATGCAATTAGTCATGGCGTTTCATTTTCTTACAATGCTCATATGTTACCATGGAGAGCTAAATATACCTATTTCTGGGTTCTCTTCATAGCAGATGTTCCTTCCCACTCAACATATTTATATTTAATACGCTATAGTTTTCTCCATGGTGATGTTACTCTTTAGAAGCATGATACTCCATCACACTTTCATATGAGTAGGGTAGGCATATGTGCATAGTAGCTGTCTCAGTTCTTCATGGTTCCAACAGAGAAAAATGGCAACAATCTGGGCATTATAGTCCTTACCCTTTGGTCACACTACATTATTTAGTGTGTGTTTTAAAAAAATATATTTAAAGTAATGTAAACTAAAATTCTGAAGGACAAACACTGTATTTTAGAACAACATTGTGTTTGGTAGCAAACTACCTGCCATTCTTTATCCTGGGTGACACAGCTTCTTCTGTAAAGACACAACAGAAAATGTGGATCAGTGACCTTTACACATCTCAGTTTTTTGTAGAATTCTCTAATTTTATTAAAAGGCAAGCTTGTGACTGGGATAAGTGGAAATAAGATTTTTCTGAAGTCTTCTATAGTATCATGTTGCTACTATTTCTTCTCCTGCTAGTGATATGAGGCAAGGATAACCATAAAAATGTCAGCCCAGGAGTTGCAATATTAGATGAAAGTAGTGAAACAGTTACAGCAGTTGTGTTATAAAACCTAACAACAATATATGTCATTCTGCAACCAAAAACATTCAGGATGGGGTTACACAGGGGAAAAGGTTTGCAGAAACAACACTGTAAAAGACCTTCAAATATCTTGAAACATGACCATGTAAAAGTCATGGAAGTAAAGAAAATTTACCCAGCATCGAAAAGATGTGTATCAGATAAATGTCCTTGCAGAGGGCATTCGGAAATGCCTTCCCCTAAATGGCAAACTGACTGATTCTATTTGGTAAGACCTTCCAGCGGAGAGCCCTTAAAAATAACTTAAAGAATAAAAGATGTTTTGTGGTACTTCAGATTCCCCAATTAATTTAGGACTATAAATGCGAACACTGATCTTTGAGTAGAGCCTTGAAGTGAAAATGCAACCATCACATTTGTTAAGTATCATAAGATTATGATACTGTGTTAGAACTTGCCCAGCCCTACTTTTGACTTCTACACTGCCCTATATCCCAGGATTCGATCCCAGGTTATCTGCTTTAAACTGGATTATATGAGTCTCCACTACCAGAGACTCATATCAGATCCTGGGATATAGGGGTAGTGTGCAAGGGGCCATAGAGACATGTATAAATTGACTTCATGTATAAATTGAGATAAGATTTTAGGACCAAATTATGGATTTTGATATGACCTGTGGATAAGTCAGGTTTATTTGCAGAGATGGGAAAGCAGAATTGCCTCCTTGGGCCAGCTGCCATTTTCTCACCCAGGCATTCAAAAAGGTCTGAAGTGGTGCTTTGCCAAAGAGAGAAGACTGTGCTGGTGTTTCTTTTAGGTTCTCCCAGGACGCCTAATCTCTTGAATTTTGCCATTTTACTTTGAAAAGGGGTGGCTCCCTTTCTGAGAAGAGTTTAGGTACACTACTTACACTGACCCATGGATAAGTCGACCCAGGGGTTGACTTTCTGGCTAAAATTTCAAGACTTATACATAAGTATATTGAGCAAATTAAAGTGACATATGTAACATATTTCAGTAAAAGAAGGCAGGGTTAACCTTGTCCAGATAAGGCTGTAGTTAGCAAATGGGCTTAAGTTATGTGTGTCATAAAAATGTGCTCCTGGATCACACCAAACATCAGTTTAGTCAGTAACTTGGTACTCTCTCCATTCAACTATATGCCTATTGTGATCTGACAAGCAATACACATGGCAACAGTTCTGTAAAATATTACAGTGACTGATTTCGAATGCTTCTGATATTGACCAATTACACTATTTAACACGATTTTTGGCCTCCCTGGTGGCGCAGCAGGTTAAACTGTTGAGCTGCTGAACTTGCTGACCGAAAGGTTGGCAGTTCGAATCTGAGGAGCGAGATAAGCTCCTGTTATTAGCTCCAGCTTCTGCCAGCCTAGTGGTTCGAAAACATGCAAATGTGAGTAGATCAATAGGTACTGCTTCGGCGGGCAGGTAATGGCGCTCCATGCAGTCATGCTGGCCACATGACCTAGAAGTGTCTACGGAAAATGCCGGCTCTTCAGCTTAGAAATGGAGATGAGCATCACCCCCCAGAGTTGCACACGACTAGACTTCATGTCAGGGGAAACTTTTACCTTTACCTGAACATGATTTTTGTTCATGGGTTATATTTTTTTCCGAATTGGTTCTATCATAAACTTACTGAATTTTTTTTTATTAAACTGCAAAATCTTTGTTCTTGTGAGATATTTTGCAGCACATTTTGCTATAGTTTTTCAATGAATATTTCAGAATTTCAGCCAATTCAATATAATTTGTGGCAGCCACAAAAACAAAGTTTCTGGAGTATAATAGCTACTTTCAAAATAAATGTTGTACAGTTAAACAGGAAATAATACTTTCAAACCAGGAACATAATTTTTTCAATTTTTTACATAGTGTAATGTACAGCTATTATTGAAAGGCTTTGAGAGCTCTATTCTTCAAGAATTTGAGCTGCTTTTTAAAGTTAATGAAGTTTGTGACCACTGCAACAGTTGTGATAGATTCCATAATAGTATGCAATGTGAAGAAATACTTTTTATTTATTTAGACTCCCCAGGTTTGTGTTTACTGAGCCAAAACTTTTGTTTCACCTGCTTTTTCATATTAAAAACTGTCAGTTGTGATCCTCCTTCCTCATTTTCATGTTTTCTAAACTAAAGCTTCTGACAAAGAAGGTCAGTTGTTCTGAAATTTCCTTGTTGGAGAAACAAAATGATGTATGCCTCTGTCAGACTTATAGCACATAAATGAAAGTTAGAACAGATCTTTAAATACAGATAGCTTGAAGATAATTATTTTTCTTGTTCTCCTCTACTGAAAATTTTCCAAATTATACATGAATCTAAGTATTTCTATGGTATAGATAGACAATGTATAAATAAGTATAAATCAAAGTCCAAATGATATTGTTAGCTCTATTTCAAATTTGAAATATAGGATTGCAATTTACTTGCTATAGAATATCCCCCCACGCCAGTGTCTGATTCATAGCTGTCTGTTGCTATTATAGCTTCATTGTAATCAGGCCAGAATTGGAGCCCCCGGTGGCGCAGTGGGTTAAAACCCTGTGCTGGCAGGATTGAAGTCTGACAGGTCGCAGGTTCGAATCCGGGGAGAGGCGGATGAGCTTCATCTATCAGCTCCAGCTCCTCATGTGGGGACATGAGAGAAGCCTCCCACAAGGATGATAAAAACATCAAATCATCCGGGCGTCCCCTGGGCAACGTCCTTGCAGACGGCCAATTCTCTCACAACAGGAGCAACTCCTGACATGACCAAAAAAGAGGCCAGAATTAGAGAACAGAAAATAAAACCAGAATCTTAATATTTTAATACAAATTGATGATGACCACATTTTTCAAAAACTTGTGCAGCACTTGTTGCTGCAGCTGAAGAATATTATAGAACTGGAAAGATATCGGAAAAGGAAAACCAAAATGATTAGGATATTTATTGGAGTAATTTCGTATTTTTTTATTGTGAGCATTCAATGACCGACGAAAAGACCATAACATGTAATTGAATTATTCTACTTCATAATGATATACAGTTCCAAATGTGTATATTGCAGTTGTTACCTCTTGTTTCTGTTTGCCTAGGCAAACCACGCAGAACAAACTCCAAAATCAGAAGAATGTGACAAACTAGATTCGAAAACAAAAAATGCAAAGAAAGCACTTACAACATTTAAAGGACCTTTATTGCATATAAGGTAACATAACAGTAACACATTCACTCGCATTGTAGATCATTCCGTATTTTAATAGTACTGCTACATCACTTGAACATTTCTACAACTTAATGGACAACATCTTAAGAATAGCTTGACAGCATCTCATTCTGAGGCCTTTGGATAATTCTGATGTTACCCTGCCAAGATTATGTTGCTGTTAACATCATTAGGAAGTTGAGGTGGAGGAAGTATTTCTGAAGTATATAAAACCTAGTTTTAATTGCTGAGAATTGTTTTCCCATTTCAAAGTTTGACTCACCTTACTTCAAGTGTGTACCCGCCCAGTGGGATTTAAATGTCATGTTGCATAACTTTGTCTTTAAGTAACTGTGAACAGAATTATATCCAAAGAAACCAAGCATTGGTAAAAGACTGGGTTCAGGAACTTGCTTTCCCGTTACTTGATCACCTCCACCATTTGTCCTGTGTGATAAAGCTTATTTCCTTCTTATCTGGCCATTTGAGACAGATTTATTTGTTAATATCTATCTGCCTCCAAAGCTAATGTGTAGTAGTTTTTAAAAAATTAATTCAGGGAGTCTCTTTAAACTGTACACAAGTTACTATTTTTCCTCCATCTATAATATGGGGATAATAGCTTATGTTACACATTTCTTTTAAAATTGCTGAGAAAGCGCTGAGAAAGTGCTAACTGCTTATCTTGGCTGCATGGAAGCAAATATTAAACTACACTGCATTTCTTTGAGATGTTAGAAGAATCTTGTTTTTGGAAGTATATCAAACAGAAGAGAGGAAGAAGAGGAGTCCATTTTTGTTGTCCTCCAAGTCTTACAGCAATAATTTCCCTCCAGAAAATTATGTGTTCTTCTGTAATTGAAATAGTGCATACATGAAATATAAACAAATACAGATATAGGTTTTTTTCCAGTTTAATTTTTCAATTTATATAGTACAGGTAAGACATATTTGATCAATCATAACGCCTTTTTATTGAAGTGTATAAGTGGCAAGAAAAATAGCATATTGAAATTTTTAATCTCAATTGCTTATATACTGTCAGAAAATGAATATATTACAATGTGGGCTGAATATAGCTGGAAACAATCATTTATATTTTCAATGAAACAAAACTTGATAAAAGTATGACATGGAAGGAATGGGGTGAAAAAAAGAGAAATATGGTGACATCTTTAAGACTAACTGATTTTTATTTTAGCATGGGTTTATTGTGAATAGAAACTCACTTCTTCAGATGCAGTACCAGTATTATTAAGGTCACAGGTCTAAAACCTATTTGTGCAGTTGTGGAAGTGGGATAGAACGTAAGTGAATCATAGTTGAAATAGACTGCAAGGGCCATCCATTCCCACCTTTCACCTCCCTGCCATATCAAAGTGCAATTGTGGAGTGGAATGGAGAGTAATTGTATTGTAGTTGAAATAGACTGCAAGGGCCATCTATTCCCACTCTTCACCCCCCTGCCATATCGAAATGCATAATCAAAGCCCTCCAACAAAATAGTTCAGCTTATGTTTAAAAACCTCCAAAGAAGAAAACTCCACCATTCTCCAAGGCAGCATATTCTTCTCTTGAACAACTCTGACAATGTACATTGAATACATTGATCTGTGACCTAGTACCTGTAGCAGCAAAAGACAAGCTTTTTCCAATAAGACATCCTTTCAGATATTAAAGATGGCTATCATTTCCCCTCTTGGCATTCTTTTCTCCAAGCTAAACATACCCAGCTCCTTGAGCTGTTTATCATAAGATTTGGCTTCCAGACTTTTTACCAGTTGTGGTTGCTCTTCTCTGAACATTTTCTAGCTTGTTAGTGTCCTCCTTGAATCTTTGTGTCCAGAACTGGACACGGTATTCCAGTGATGTATAACCAAAGCAGAAAATTACCCAAAATTTTGAAAGTGCTGGGCGAGGTGTTACAGGTCTTTCAAATCTTTACAGTGGTTAGTTTTGATATGTGAAGGCAATAAATTAGTCTAAGTCAATATCCGTAGGTTCAAAACTCTGAGAAAATTCCTTTTGTGATACAAGCATTAGTGAGTAGTGTGCAATACCACTCAGTATTGCATCTGAAGAAGTGGATTTATATCCATGAAAGCTCATGTGAAAATAAAAACCAATTACTGTTAAGGATGCTTTTATATTTCATTTTTATCTCCCTCTTTTTATGTTACAAGAGACTGACATAGCTACTTCTTTGAAAATTGTTGAAAGTTGATCACTTCTATTTCACATTGTTGTGATTAAAATAACATCCATTTTATAGGTTTTTATGAATGTGGCTGAAGACATTCTTAGAAAAGAAAGTTTAGAAAATACATTTCTAATGTGAACTAGGAACATACCACCAAAGAAATAATTTCAAGAATAACCGTGTATGTCACCAATATAAATGCAAGTTTTGTCATTACCCATCTTTGTCTTCACCAAAGAGAAGTTTATTACCCTATATTATGTACCTACTTTATTTCTGGCTCTCCAAGTCTTGTATATCTCAAGGACATTTATCCCCATTATTTTAGGGATATTTTAGAAAAAAATAGAAAAAATGTTCATTACATTAAAAATAGTTTATTTGAACTTCTCATTTCTTGCGCTTAATGAGTATTTCAGTTAATTCTGGGCTTTATTCTATATGTAGTGGTGCATAATTCATGTTTACAATACTGTTCATCTGACTCTAAAATCTCGTGATGAGTTGTGTGCATCCATTGTCAGGGATGTGTTTCTTGAACAGCAGTTGTAGTACAAAATATCTGGAGTTATATGATTGGCACTCATGATATATACTTTCTACTTACCCAAAAATATCACATGTAAACTCTTGGTTTGTTCATGTGTAGTTGGTGGCCCATTATATTTTGTCTATTTGGAGGTCTGTGATGTTTTGTTCAACCATGATGCATTGTTTTAAATGTTATGGAGCCCCTGGTGGCGCAGTGGGTTAAACCCCTGTGCCGGTAGGACTGAAGACCAACAGATTGCAGGTTCGAATCCAGGGAGAGGCGGATGAGCTCCCTCTATCAGCTCCAGCTCCTCATGCGGGGACATGAGAGAAGCCTCCCACAAGGATGATAAAAACATCAAATCATCCAGGCGTCCCCTGGGCAACGTCCTTGCAGACGGCCAATTCTCTCATACCAGGAGCGACTTGCAGTCACTCCTGACACGGCAAAAACAAACAAAAAAAATTGTTTTAAATTTGTCTGAAATCCTGGAACATGGGTGAAATGAGTATAAAGTGAAAATTTCCCAGATCTCATAAAACCCTTCATCGAAGATAACACCAGTGCTACTTTTATGCTTGGGTAGGACTGGAGTATGGCCTCAATACTATTAGGTAGTTGTTTTAATATGTATAGCCTTTATTTTAAGAACATACTAGATGTACTATAAGGTTGAAATAAAAATACTTAACTGTGAAATTCTTGCTATTTTTATTAGCCCTGCAGAAGAGCTGCACTTTGGTTCTAAAGAAACTGGAGAGAAGAAATGTTTAATAGTTCTAACAAATGTGACTAAAAATACAGTGGCATTTAAGGTAATAATATTTAATTTACACAGTCACTTTCCTGGGTGAATACTCAGTTCTTTTTCAGAAAAATGTATTTATTTATTTGCTTCATTTCTATACCGCATTTTTCAGCCCTTAACAGGCGACTCAGTGCGGTTTTTTATACTTTTTTCATGACAGCTTGCACAATCCCTAAGCTATAGTCTTCAAGATGGATTTTCTAACTGTTTATACATACAAATAATTTGAATTCATTACATGCATTTCTGATTTTATGTTTTAGTAATAGCACTAAACTGTCAGTGCAAATTATACCTGAATAGGAACATGGTAAGATATTTATAAAATTAATTATTTTATGGAACGAGTGGATGGCCAAAATAAATGAAAAACCGTGGTCACCTAATGAAGTTAATTCCACTGTTGTCTTTCCACTTTGCAAGCAAAGCTGTTTTTATCCTGACTAGCACTTAAGCTGCATTGCTGTTTGGAGCAGTTTTAACTGGGTTTTTGTTGTTGTGTTTTACTCACTATTCAATTGCAGTCCTATTTTTATTATAATTAATCATCATGAGTGTCATTTTTGGCAGAGAGATGGAATACTTAATTATAAATTAATAGTCTTAGAGTATGTTCAGGTGGTAGCTTATAAAAACAGCAATATAAAAAATCTGACAAACCCAAAGTCTGCAGATGTCTGATGTATATCTGATACATCTAAATCAAATTATGTCCATTTATAATACATTATTCATTATATTAATATTTATTGTACAGCAGCTTATGTATTTATATTTAAAACCAGGATTTACCAGGTCCTTTATTTTAGAATGTGTGAGCTAGTTCATGAATTGCAAATATGAGGAAATAGGAAGCACAACTGCATTGTACTGCTATCTCTTTATAACTGTCAAAATGAGACTGTTAAGTAGTAAAGGATAAATGGGAGAACTGATGTATTTATATTACCATAATCTAGGTGAGAACAACTGCTCCTGACAAATACAGAGTGAAGCCAAGTAACAGCAGCTGTGAACCAGGCACATCACTAGATATAATAGTTTCTCTTCATGGTGGTAAGTAAAGCATTGTTCAGTGATTTATTAATGAAATAAATAGATATTGTTTTGCAAATTTCCTTCTGTAAAGTTTAAATTCCAGGAATATGTACTGAAAGGTCAATACTCTTTAAACGACATAGCTGTTCAGTCTGTGTATACTGAGCTGTATCTGACCAGAACATCATAGTTAAATCTTCTGCTTTCATTTAAATAGCCTTAAGGACAATTATTTTGAATTATATTCTTGAGTTGACTATGAACCTTAAAAAAAAACACCAAATTGAAGCATGTTAGTTTTTCAGCCTTCAAAAATGGAAATAGACCTGAGCTGTAGAAAAATGAATGATTAATGGCCACAGTGATACCAACATGTACTATAGTCTACAATATATGTGGTATAGTATTGTAGACATATACTAAAAAGAACATCAAACAATACAATAAATACTATGTAATGTGATACCACTGCACAGTTCTTTTTTTTTTTACTCCTTTCTATTTCTAATTTATTCTTAAATTTGTTTACATATTTCACATTGGTTGGATAAGGAAAAGGTATTGTAAAATTACTTTGTACCTATCAAAATAGGTTGTACTTGTGGCAGGATCAAGGAATTGGGCCTTATGTTGTTAGAATAGCAGAATCTAGTAGAACAGAGACCTCCCCACTATGATCCCTGCTCTTCAAATGTCCCTGAAGAGCTGACACAAAGGCTTGCAAAATGGAGGGAAGAGAAAGAAGTTTTGGCCAAGGGAATGCTGTCAAAACATTATTTAATGTTCTTCAAGAAGTTGGATGTGGGGTGTATTGTTTGGTTGTAAAATGTTAAGGCAACTATATTTTAGAGGATAGTAGTATAGAACATTTCTGACATTTTAAAAGATCACTCCAAGCTTTGGATTTTACCCAGTGAATCCAATGGCCAGATGATGCCATGGTGGTTTGTCATACTACTTGAGATTTGTTAAATTGCTATATACAAAATCAAATATAGGATATACTCTATTTCTACATTTTACTGCTCACAGCCTTCTTTTGCAATGCTGGTTAATTTGCAGGCCTTGCCTAGTGCTTCTAGTTATGCTTCTAGTTATGGTATATCTGCTAGGGCAAGTAGCTCTCCATATAATATATAATGTGTGGGGGTTTTTTTTACCTTTTCCACAGGGTACGTTAATTTTAAATATTGCTTGAAGTTAGAAAAACCAAAATTATTACAACTACCTTCTGTTGATTGAGCAGGTTGTGCAGTTTCCTTGCAAGACCGTTTTCTGATTATGGCAGCAGAAATGGAGCAGTCCTCTGTAGTGGGAACACAAGAATTGACTCAGTTTTGGAAGGAAATCCCCAGAAACAAAGTGATGGAGCACAGGTAAGCATTTTTTTTTGTTTTTTCGAAGGTTGCTAGAGTACAGTCTAAAATAAATACAAATTACCATGTGTCACCATCTTTCATGTCATTCATTTCTTAGCAGAAGTTAGTGAAATCTGAAACAGATGCCCTTTGTAAGCATTTTAATTAATGTTGCTATATGGCAGGTTTGGACAAACTTCGGCCCTCCAGGTGTTTTGGACTTCAAGTCCCACAATTCCTAACAGCTTCAGAACCCTTCCTTTTCCCCCTCAGTAGCTTTTGTTTTATCAAACATAAAAGAGAAATCTGAGTGGCACTAGTTACTCTCCCTCCCTCCCTCCCTCTCTCCCCCCCCCCTCTCTCTCTCTCTCTCTCTCTATATATATATATATATACACACACATACACATACATATACTTATCCTGATTCCTGAATCTTTTTTCAAGTCGTTTTCTTTATGTTCCTTGTTATGAGCAAGGTAACAGACTAATCAGCTGTTATTTGGTCCAGGCGCTGCTATATCCGATGCTCCTCCACTTTGTGGTGAGCATGCTGTAGCTGGGTGAAGGTGCAGAAGCAGAAATACAAGTTGCATTTTTGAACATTTAGAACAGATGTCAGCAAACAACTGAAATCACTACACCGGAGGAAGAATGTGACTATAGTGATATGTAATTCTACCAGCTATATAATCATTGTTAAAATGTCAGAAATTTTCTTTTCAGATTAAGATGTCATGTTACTGAAAGCAGCAAACCTTCTAGTTTAACATTAAATGAAAGTACCTTTAATATTCCTGCCAAAAGCAATGAAGATCTACACCTACAGGTAACAATTGTACTTATATTTATAGATTCCTCCTGAATCTAATGGATAGTGTAGTGTACTGTGGCTTTTCAGGATTCCCCATCTTGTAGGTTTTTATGGTTATAAAAACCAGACCTGAAGGTTAGTAACCCTCCCAGACTATGTTGTGCAACTGTAAGAAAAAGAGTGGCAGACTGGAAAGCAGCTGACTTTCCATGTATCCACAGAAACACTTTGCTTGTGTTTCTGGACATCTTTGGGTCTTGATTTTTCCCTTTGTCTTGGTGTCAGACTTTAATATGTGCTAGAAATGAATCTGGGGCTTCTTTTGATTGTCTCTCATTTTAAGCATGCCTATCGGAACTCCAATGCAGCTTTCCGTTATATTTTGCCAGGGCCTCTTGTCTCCTCCTTAGACAAAAAGGAATAGGCTGTTAACGTAAGACCTAAATATGCAGCTTATATAGTATATCAAAGCAAAATTGTTACTGGTCTTGTTGTGTGTCTTCCAAGTCTTTTCTGACTTACGTGACTCTAAGGGGGTTTTCAGGGCAGAATTCATTCAAAGTTGGTTTGCTTTGGCCTTTCTCTGAGGCTGAGAATCTTTGACTTTCCCAGGGTCCCCCAGTGGGCTTCCATGGCTGAGCAGAATTTGAACCCTTGACTCCTAGTATCCTGTTCCAACACTCAAACCACTACATCATGCTGGCTGCCACAGCAAAATCAGTGGTGTGTTAATTAATTATTGCTATTTTCAGATTTATTTTAAGGTGCCTGATATATTGGCAAATCCACTTTGAACAAATTCTGCCCTCTGTTTCAAAAAGAATTTCTGTAATGTGAGAAAGGAAATAATGGCTAGCTTTTCATACTGGGTGTATGCGGGCATGGGGGGGGGGGGATGATGGCTAACGTAAGGTTTCCTATATAATTAAAACAGTCATGGCTTATACAGCCATGCTGTTATATGGTAGAACAGCAGGCGATCACTGAGTGCAGATAAATAGATGTAAGGAAAAAAAAGACCATTTTACTATCCTTTTTTTACAAACTTTTTTTTCTATTTTTTTCCCCAGCTAACACAGTTATTACAAGCCAACACAAGACTTCGAGAACAGATTGATCGCTGTGTCTGGTTCCAGCAGTTGACTCTTCTGTTGGTGTTTCTTCTAGTTGCCAGTACTACATACTGTTTCTATCTTTTGTATCCTCCAAGCAGCTAAAGAGCAGTGCCCTATAGAACATGCTCTGTTGGTGTTAGTCAGTTGGGGAAAACAGCCAATCCTATTCTCTGGAGCTATAGAACTGCCAAAACAAGATCTGTGGAGCTTCCCAAAAACTAAAAGTCACAGGGCTGAGATGTATGCCTTGAATCAGCATGTGGAGTGGCATCATTAATATTCCAGGATAAGAAGAGCAGAATGTCAAAGAAGTCATTTTCACTGGACAGCGTAATAACTACTCATAATAAGAGGGCCATCAGTACTTATAATTTAATATTTTCTTTTTTTCTGACATGCAGAGATGTATAAGATGTATGAAACTAATAATTTTTGTACAGAAAATGCACCATTTCCTTTGAAATGTAACTGCAAAATGATGTAATAGACTTTCTTGTGTTGGTTGTACATAATGTATGTGTGTACATAATAGATAATGGTAGACATAATGGTGAAGCTGGTATTTGAAGACCTGCATCCTAATATTAGTTCTCTCTTCTTTTTCCTATTTTCCAGAATTACTACAGCTATTTTACACCAAACAATTTTATCCAATATGTATCTTGTAGCAATACTTCCCAGAATTTTCTGCTGTAGTTCCAAAGATTTAGGACTTTCTTGTTACAGATTGTCATAGTGACCTGTAAGAAGTACGCTCATCATGATCTTTTTTTTAAAACCTACTAGCTCTGAGAAACAGATCCCCATTCCCTAATATTGACTGAGTTTCCAGAACTGAAATAGCTAGCATGGGATTGCAACTGCTTTGTCCCATTAAGTTTTGATGCTGACTTCTTGCTCATGTGTTATAGAAGATGGGTTCGTATAACTGTAGGGCAGTAAGCACTGTACCACAATCTTTGTGGCTAGATTTCAAAAAAAAATTGCTGTAAGCAATTTCTTCCTGAACTACATTCAGTAAATCATGTGTAATATTGATGACACAAATAATTGTGATGAAAATTGTTATTACTGCTTGAAAAGTAGTTTAGAAAAAAGGATTAAAAGCATAACTAAAAACTATCTGTTATGTACACACATTGCGGTTATACTCCAGCATAGCCTCTCCGGGAACTTCTTATTTGCTTCTTTGTATGAGAGAGGGAGTGGTCTGTGTACACGCAAGCATTTTTTGCCTCAGTTTTCTTGTGTAGATCAGAAAGTCTCTGAATACACAAACTTTAGTATATATAATCTTTTCTTTTTCTTTCCCACTTTCACTTCAGTGGGACTAAGCACTCATCACTGAGCATAGCATTTGCATTCCAAATGTCTACCACAGACCATCTCAACTTGGTAATACTGTGAAACTGCTGTGGGTTTTTTTTTAAATAAAGAGTAATAATTGTTGTAGACCACATTCCCCATAAAGTCTTGCAAGCTTGAAGCTTTGTGTTTAGTAGCCTTAACTGGGTTAAGCTTTTTTGAATGGTTGACATGCTGAATTTTGCTTTGCTTATTTTGCTTATGCTCAGGCATGATGGTAGAAGACCATTTGAGAAGACACAGTTTACTGCCATATTATCTAGTTCCACATTTTCCCTAGTTCCAAATCTTCAGATTGTGAAGGTACAGTGGCATACAGAAGTATTTCAACCTTCCTTCTTTCAATAAATGTGTCTTCTGTATTTAGAAACAGATACAGATTTTTGATCATTGTGAGTAGACTCTGTAAAGAGGAACATAGACCTCTATACAATAATAATGCAGGGCAGTTTCGGTCCAAAACAATTATATTTGATATTGAGAGTTCAAGTATCTTTATAGGATTACCTTTCTAGCTCGTGGAGCTATCGTAAGTTGCCTTATAATATGTTATAGTTAGTTATAGGTTTCTCAGTTGTTCTGAGATTCATCTCTGTGTTGCTAAAGAAATTAGCTATTTCAATTTCATAAACAAGCCAAAACAGTTTTGAATGATTTGTTCTTTTATAACAGATTTAACAAGCCTGGTTGTCATTAAGCTTAGAACTAAAGTTTTCAAACTTCTTAGGACATCCTAAGATCTGTAATACAAAATAATACAATTCTTCGCTCAAAAAGTTTATCACTAAATTGGACTGAATTTAATTGCACTTTATTAAACGTGTTTGAGTATTGATAAAACCTATGCCAATAAATATTCTTAATATCTGGTGCTTAAATATTTTCAGTATTTTATTACTATATTCATATTTTCTATGTAAAATTGATTGGATAATGTTTTCTATTTTAATATGTTATAGACAAAGAACTTCATTTGTGAAATAAATAAAACTAAGACCACAGTGTTCATTGCAGTTCTTTGGAAACATTCACACTCTTGTATAGTTGTTTTAAAGGCAAATAACTTTTTTATCTTGATCTTCATTAGAATAGCTTGTATTTACAATTAAATACCCTTTCTACTTAAAAGCAGCCGTTTGAAGAATAGTTTTTGATTAGTCAAGAATCTTTAACTGGACTCCAGCATCACTTGTTTAAGAGAAAATTCCTTTAGCTGCTAGTTTTGACATCACAATCTTTGTATATAGTTAACATATCAAAAATGCTTGTTGATAAATGCTGAAATAATTAATTTGGTTCTATATTGTGGGCCTTAAAAGAATAAAAAAGCTTCATGTGTTCAGCAATAATTCCTCAATCTATTTTAGAAAACATTTTCATTTGTACTGTCTATGGGTCTTCTAGGAAATTAATTCAGATGTTACAAATATGATGCTACTGTTTTGGCATTCTGTCTATATCTTACCCAAGAGAACCACACCAGTATCTGGGGGAAATGAAAGCATCCAAAGATGCTGTGAAGAGCTGCTTTTATTTTTATTACATTTTCCATTATATTTTGAGTTTTTCTTGAAGAGTATTTTCTTTTACGTTTATTGCATCGCCCACCTCTCTACTCTAGTAATCTGAGGACATTTTCTAAAAGCTAATTCTCTCTAATGCCCTTTAGGAGCTTTCCTACTTCTCCATATGTCCTTACCCATGACTTAAGCGCCTCCAATTCTAACATTTCCACTTTCAGATTTTTTTCTCTTGCTACGTTTATGTTTGGAACTCTTATAATACATTTACCATTTAATTGCCTTCCTTCAAATTGCCTCTTTCAAAATTATTTACCACAGATGCTCTTATTTAATCTTGAAGTCATCCCTATCCATTGGGAAATTTACATACATGTAACTACTTGTTCACATTCTTCCCACATTAATTTTGCCTTTTTCATTTTTCTTGGTGTTTTGGCTCCCAGTTGTTACACTGCAGATTGTGTTGATATTATGTTATCACATCAGCTTAGATCACAAGTGAGCAAACTGCAGCTTGCTAGAACCACAATCACTTTTCCCTGAAGACCACAGTTCAGAGGTTGCTCTTAGTAATACTTACAAAATGTTGATTTAGGCAGTGAGGTGGAAAGGAGCCACAAAGGTGATGCAGTTATAGTTGCTATATCCTTGTTCATAGTGCCAGGGGATGGGGGGCATCTCCACTGAGCTTGCTGGAGGGGAAGTCTTTTGACATCCTTTGTCACCAATTCATCTGCAGCTGAGAGCCAGCAAGGTTTGATGAGCACTGGATCACAACCCTGGAGTCCACAGTGTGGACTTCACTTGGCCATGGAGACCCATTGAATGATATTTTCTCAGCTTTGGAGGAAGGCCAAGGCAAATTCCCTCTGAAGAAACTTGGGCCAGAAACCCCCCAAGATAGGTTCATCTTAGGGTTGCCATAAATTGGGAACAACTTGAAGGCACACAATAACAACAGCAATAAAAGAGCCACCTAGATAGAGATAACCCAAGAGCTCGCTGTACCAAACATCCCCTGATTCCTGTTCCCTAACAGCTATTTGGGAGGGAAATCTTAAACAAGATCAGGAGTGTGTGACCTTGTAGATTAACAGGAGCTCCAACTCCTGTTAATCTACCCCTGTCATAGGTTGTGCCATTCAGGGATTGATGGTAGGGAAAGACAAATATCAGTATTGTTTTCTCCATAATCAGCTATATTCAGATTCAAAATGGAGTTCATATTTAATCTCCCAAAGCTCAACTTAAATAATTAGTAAAAGAAATTCACATTAAAATAACACTGGTCTTTCATTTTTCTAATTTAACCACATTTAACCTAATTTAACCAAATGAAATTCCCGTTTGGCAAAAGAGAAAATTGCTGTAGAGCAGCCTTCTGGTCAATAATTTTCTGTAAGTTCTGTGGCTATAAGAGGTACTCTTGCATCAACTATGAGGTATATTTTCAGGAGATTCACAGTATCCTTTCATATAGCCCATGCTGTTTGGAAACCAATACATTCTCTTGACTTAAGCATACTGTGTATCTTGTGCTTATATATGAATCATAATTAGTCAAGTCAATCTTCTGTATAAAAGAATAAAGCATATATGATTATGCCTCCTTTATATAGACTTATCAGGTACCAAGTCAATCACTACAGACTTAGGCTTTTTGGTGAGACGAGAAGCAATTCCCTCCTAGGATACTGGACAATGTTATTTACTAGATGTTCTTCAGAAAGAGCAATCGATGATCTTGCCTTTTGGCTGTAATAAGAGCTGTGTGTATTCTATGGTTACAAAAGACAGAGTAGCAACTGAAAATGACTTCTGAATTTACCATTCCAAAATTCTCTGGATGCTAAAGAGACTCTGGATGCCAAAAATCTCTGGATGCTAAAGAGATTTCTTTAGATCTTCAGTTTGAAAATCCCATGGGTAATCAAGGTTACAGAATCCACATGGAACGGGGCTTTAATTGAGGCTTTGGAAGGCTTTTGGGGTCACACTTAGGAGTCCCAGGAGTTACATGAAACCCACAGGTTTCAGAAGTGCAAAGTGTGACCCCAGAAGCCTCCCAAAACCTGTGAACTATTTTTATTTTAAGTTTGGAATTAATTTGGGGGTGAATTTCTTTGCCCTCAGATTGCCCAGTATTGTGCCCAAATCACAGCAACTTATTTATTTATTATTTGAACTTATATCCCGCCACTCCCCTGGGGCTCGGAGCGGCTTACAAGAATAGCTAAAATCTAACAAAATTTAAAAGCAATTTAAAACAATTTAAAAATAGCGATATCAAACAAAAGCCTGTCGAAACAGGTATGTCTTACATGCCCTGTGGAAAGCTGGTAAGTCCCGCAAGGCACGGACTTCAGGTGGCAGAGTATTCCAGAGTGATGGTGCCACTGCTGTGAAGGCTCTGCGTCTGGTTGCTGTTAGACGCAAGGTCTTGACACTGGGGACTTCCAATAGATCTTGGTCCTCAGAACGGAGAGATCTCGGGTTGGTAGGGGGTGAGGCGGTCCCTCAGATACATCGGCCCCAGACCATGCAAGGCCTTAAAGGTGAGTAAAGGTGAGTAAAGTGATCCGGTGCTCAATTGGTAACCAATGCAGCTGCAGTAAGATTGGTGTTATGTGGCATCTCATCGGAATTCCCGCAAGAAACCGAGCAGCTGCCTTTTGTACTTGCCTCCCCTACTCTTCCAAAGCCACCCAAACACCCCAAAAACATGAAATAATTTTTTTAATCAATCCCCAAAGTTGACAAAAATGGTGGCTAAAGAGTGTTGAAGAGCACAATCAGTAGAAAATACCCCTCCTCCCACCTGGATGTAGCTGCCCACTTGGATCTTAGTGTTAAACTGGGACTGGGGAGTCCTAAATTTAATGCCCAGAGTCCCATGGCATGACAGGGCCAGTCACCATGTCTCAGCATAACTCAGCACACAGCAGTTGTGAGGACAAAAAAAATGCATCTTCTCTTGAGCTCCTTAGAGAAAAGGGAATATATAAATTAAACATGTAAAATAAGTAGCATTCCTAATCATATTTAAACATTTGGTTCTGCCAAGTCGACACTAGTAATATGTTGGAGTATGAAGAAGGAATATCCAGACTGGAAAAGGCAGGACCGAATAATCTGAAGATGGAGAGATCTATTCAGGAGAGACTTAAGGCTATTATTATGAGGAATGCTGATAAAAAATAGGTAATATCAAAATAATTTGTAGTTCCATAACATCAATGCCCTACTTTTTAAGCAAATGACTTCCAATGTTAACAGCTTGAAGCAAGTTGAACACCTGCTCTACAAGCCAGAGGGAAGGGATCAGGGAACAGAGGGTATCATTTCAAGAAATACAAATGGCTAGAGAGTGAGTACAAACAGAATGTCAAGATTTTTCATTCATCTTGCTAGCCCCTGTACAATTGACAAATTACTAAAGCAGAAGTCTATCCACCCCAAATGGCATCAAATTTGTCACACTTACCGGAGAGCAAAGAACCTGTGGAATATACTGCGAATCATGAAGAAAAGTGAGGAAAGTAAGATAATCTTCCTTTTTTCTGAGCAATAGAAATAAGCCTAACCTAACACTTAGACATCAAATGTAGATATAGACAGTGTCTTTTTGCTGTTGAAGTACCAGTACCTTGAGCAATTGCCACCTCCCTAGCTTGCATTGCTTCACATGGAACAAATTATGTGACTAAGACTTCCGCAAACTCACGTTGTGACCAAAACTTTGGTCAGAGATGAAAAACTGGATCTGCAACCTACTTATTAGGCAATCTTTCCATTTAACAACCCACTATTCTATCAGATATATTCAGTGCTTCAAAGGTTAGTTCTTTATGGTGTTGCTTTACTTAAGTAAAGTCTGAATACTCCAGTCAATCCTGTTACCAAAGGTGTGGATGAGGAATGGCTGACTTTACTGATTTTGTTCAACTCCAGCATGACAAATGTGTATTGATGGGTATTGTAGTCCAGCATCTTTTGGGGCACATATTTTCCCCTGTCAAGCATATTTCAGGATTTGTTTAGATACTGAATTTTGAGATCTATAATAAAAAGCATAAGCCAAGCTATGTATGACCAACAAATGAGGAAAGTAGTGCAAAATGTCTCCAAAGCTCCTAAAGGTCAGAAAAATCTACTTTCAGTTCTGCTTCACTGTTTGTTTAGCAGGTATGGTATCTACATTTATTATATTTCATTTCATTTATCTCCTGCCAATACAAGATTCAATTTGAATGGGAAATGTACTAAATATAGCAGGACTACAGTTCCTTTCAGCCAACCATTCATAATTCTTGAGACTGAGTCAACCCCTGGGAAATCACACTTTCCCCACTGCTGTCTTTAAATATTCACAGGTTTCAAATTCTTATTCTGTGTTTTGCAAGCTTTGTTACTTAATATTTAAGTTAATACTTAAAATCACTGGGGAAACATTTATAAATGGAAAAACCAAATTGGCCTTGTAACTTTCTGCATTTTATTAATTGCATGTCTGAATGTAGTGACCTTAATTAATGTATATAGCCACTTATAACTCTAGAATGTTTACTAAAAAAATAGCCCCCAAAACATGAATCGACTTATCCATAGATCGCTGTAACATTTCTGAAACTATCACAGGGCTTCCTCGTAACATTTGCTTCCCTTTACTGTTCTCGAAGTCTGAAAGAATGTGACCTGTTCATTGTTACTCCATGGTTTCTATGGCCAAGAGGAGATTTAAGCCCTGATTTCTAGGATTGTAGTTCAAAGTTCAAAGCACTACCCAATGCCTGGCTCATATAGTCAGTATTCATTTGTGTATTGGTTTTAGAATTAGTACTGATGTAAAACATGCCCACAAAGAAGGAAAAATATGGTGCATTCTGAGAGTGATGCGGGCGCAACGGCTGAATCCAAACAAGCACGAAGACTCAGGGTATGTTTAAAGGGAGGTATGCATTTGATGATATAGCTACTTCCATCCACAGTCCAAATATGCATTTTCCCAGACATGGTTAGATTTTGACAAGTCAGGGCATACTACAATAAGTGGCTGTCATGCAAAATATACATCCACCCTGTAGTAACTGCCAATCATAATCTTACACTTCTGAATCTGCCTCTTTCAGTTCTCTCAAATGCATGCTCAGCACACATTGTCTACAAGAGTAGATGGCAACTTGTGCATCTTCTGACATTGTGGATTAGAAACCCAAACATAGTTCACCACTGGTTATTGCTCAATGGTGCTGATGGAAGTTGTCAAAAATCTGAAGATCATATTGTGATCACTTGTACTCCTTTCACATCTCAGTTTAAGTTGAGCTCAACTTAATTTCCAGTGTAGGCTTCCATCTCAAAGCTGCTCCAATCTGTATCCCAAAAAGTAACTTGGATAAATTCAGTCTAAGTTCTCTTCTGAACAATATATTCTTTTTTTCTGGTGCAATGCCTGTTTTAAAAGAAGCTGTTCCAAAATAATTTGGGTCTCAAATGTCTTATAATAATAGCCAAGCATTTTAAAAAGCAACCTACGAATTCTTCAAGTGTAAAAACGTTGTGTTAGAAAATAGATCAAGTTTCCTACAAGTTAAGTAGATGACATTTCTTTGTTCTCTATCATACAGAAATTGATTATTGTCTGATTTCATATTTCTCAGGCTTTCCACATCCAGTAGCCAATCCTATGTTTTCTGTAGGGCTGGGCGGTTTCGTTTCGTTAATTCGTAATTCGTTAAAAATTCGTTAATTTTTTTATAACGAAACCGATAACGAACCATTCTGGAGCAACTTAAAAACGAAACAAATTTTTAAATACGTTTTGTAAATGCTTCGTATTTCGTTATGTATTCGTTTCGTTATTGGTTTGAGGTCGTTTCGTTATTATTTCCGCATGTCTGGGGCAAGTTTTATAGTTGTTTTTTGTTTAATTAGTGAAAAAAAATTATAATATCACACCAACAGTCAACAACAGAGGGAGAGGGAAGCTTCAGAAATTTTTTTTAGCGTATTGCGCGATCGCGGCCGCCATTAACGAATCGATTCGTTATTGTTTCGTTATTGTTTTGTAATTTTTTTACCATTTACGAAATTTCGTAAATATCGAACTTTTTTTAAGGAAAATTTTGTAATTATTTTAAATAACGAAACGCAAAACCCCCTAAAAAACGAATCAATTTTAGAAACAAATTTTTCCGTTGTTACCCAGGCCTAGTTTTCTGGTTTAAGTCAATCCACATAGTTGTCTTTTATCAAGCAGAATTACATTTTCAAGTACTTCTGATTTTGCTAGAGATCAAGCAAAACCCTTTGAAACAGGTTGTCTGATAGATTCCACACTTTGGCTGATAGTGCTTTTAGGAAGGGAAGGGAGGGAAAGGGAAAGGAAAGGAGGGGGGGGGGTACTGTCTCAGAAATGTCTTTCCCATTATTTTCATTTGACAAAAAGGTACCAGCAGTACATCATGTGTAATGTTTTTACTCACAGAATTGGGGACAGTGGGGCAGGTTAATGCCATAGCCTTACATATGGATTTTGCACTTGTCTGCAAGAAAGAATGAAGGATAATCTTTGAAGACTTTTGTGCAAAGTAGTAAATTGCCTTTTATGTCTTTAAATGAAATGCAGAAGCTCTACATCTCTGATACTCTGCTTGCTGTGACACTTGAATTTGCTATCTTTAGGTATTCAGGAGAAGGTAGTTTTTACAATGTGACCTGCAGCGCCATCGCTAACTCTTTAGCAATTTTCTGAGCTCATTTTCTCAGCAGGGGAAGAGAGCAGTCTAACACTTTTGAAAACAAGAGACAGAAACTGGGGCAAGGCTCTGAATTAGCTTCTTAAGCTCACACAATCAGCTCATGCTCATCCAATGCAAAGATTGGAGAAATTATGTTTTGTACTACAGCTCCCAGAATCCATAAGTTTTTTGGAGCTGAACTGGAGTAAGTTTTCCAAACCCCAGTCTATTGAAAATATTTATTTTTCCCTTTCCTTGGACAATATGAAAAGCAATCCTAAAAGAGTTTGTTATTATTTTAATATTTTAATTTGATAACTTGTATCTGTATATCATCTTTCTCCTCAGTGGGACTCAAAGAAGCTTACAGTACAAATGGAAAGAAAACAGCAGAAACAGTATGGGGTACAACATTTTTAAAATTTGAAAACATCAAAGTAATGAAAACACTGCATTTTACAGCAATAACATAAAACATAATTAAAAACAAAACAAAAAAATAATTTTAAAAACACTCACACCTAACAGTAAAAAAGTTAAAGGTTTCCCCTTGACATTAGGTCTAGTCAAGTCCGACCCAGGTGGTGGTCCTCATCTCCATTTCTAAACCAGAGAGCCGGCGTTGTCCATAGACACCTCTTAGGTCATGTGTCCAGTATGACTACATGGAGCTCTGTTACCTTCCCACCAGAGTGGGAAGGTAACAGACCTATTAATCTACTCACATTTGCATGTTTTCAAGCTGCTAGGTTGGCAGGAGCTGGGCTAACAGTGGGAGCTCACCCCACTCCCCGGATTTGAACCGCCAACCTTTCGGTCAGCATGCTCAGCAGCTCAGTGGTTTGACCTGCTGCGCCACCAGCAGGTATGTGTTTTAATAGTAAAAACAACAAATGAAACTTAGATTAGGAGGGAATTCCATAGTCCTGGGGCAGAAGGCTTTCTCATTGTCCTCACCAGACCTGAAGAGTTGATGGTTAAAAAGAGAAAACTCGGCTCTCAATATTGTAATATTCAGGCTGAATGATATGGAGAGATCGTGCCTTAGTTTCTCTCAGTAGTCAACCAAATACTTTAAAAAGTGACAAATGGAGCTTGAATCTATCCCCTTTCCCTATTCTTTATCCCTAGTGATGGTATACAACTATTCAACATTGGGATCTATTTAGCAATATTAGCTTACATAGCACTTTTCAGAATGCTTGTGTAGACTGCCACTGCTAGAAATTAGAATCATAAAGTTGAAAGAGCCCACAAAAACCATTTGCATTTCAAACCTGATCTTTCATCACGCTCTACAACCTGTTTCCCATCGTGTGTATTTGAGACTGCAATCTAATTTCAACCTCAACTAGAATAGTGTACCATTTAAATGAACCGATCCTGTTAGTCAATACTATTATAAGCCTTGTTGGTTTTGAAGGGTTTATTTTTGCTGGGAACTTGTGTTCCCTCCAAGAATTTATTCCGAGGCTGAGTATCCAAAAAAGTTCATTCTATAATGGATCTGTTAGTCCTAAAGACTGAAGAGGACTCTATTTCATACTTAGCTACAACACCTTTCCCTTTTAGAAGCTGATAGACTTGTGCCTCCAGGAAACTACTAGAAGAACTTTATTTATCCAACATCTCTAAACGCCATCTAAGTATGTGTCCCTCACCACACTGCATATATCTAGTAAATGTTATATGAAGAATCAGTAATCCTTTTATTTGTCTGGAATCTACACCAATTTATTTTATTGCATTTCTCACCAATTTCATATTATGGAAGAGAGGGGGAAAATTCCATGGTTTTTGTGCACTCAAGTCTATATTCAGAAACCAGTGGCATGTTCCCCACCTCAGATTTTTTTTTAATTTAAGCAAAAAAAGTCAAACTTTTCTCACTTTAGTCCTTTAATCAT